AGTTATACAGCTGCTTACCTCTGCAAATGGTAAATTTTGTGTGTGTACTGTCCCTTCTCTCCATCCTTCTCGTAGGGTTCATTTTTTAGCACCTCCACTCCTTCTCCTCCACCCGTCTCATTCTTACTGGCCTCAGCCACAGAGTACAGCTGGCCCACCTGGTACTGCAAAAAAAAAAAAAAAAGAGAAAACTGGTTGGAGTGAAGTCGAGAGTGAGTTTATAGTGAGAAATAAGGAGCTCTCTGAATTATTGCATATTAAAGTGGTCTTGTGTTGTTGCCACACAGTAACACACACAGATCATCATGTGTATTTCATCTGTTTCAGTCTTAGGACTTGGATTACTTTTCTTCTGATCCTTCTCCTGATCTCTACATTGTCCTTTCCTTGTCCCTGGATTCTCATAATCTGTCTCATACAGTCTTGCTTGTCCTCTACCTTCTTCTCATCCCGTCGCCTTTTAACTTGCACCCAAGTGGTTTTCACAGACTGTACACTTTCTCCTTCTCACATCCCATGATTCATCTCACCCCCATCTTCCTGATCCTAAGTGTGCATGTGATTGTTTAGACACAGGACAATGGCTTCTTTCATTTCTTAATCACCTCTAATCCACCATATAACCTCTGCACAAATCCGGACCAAACACACTTACAACATCACAAAGATGGAACAAGTTGGTGAAGTCGTAGCTATTTTTACAGAAAGAAGACAACAGCAACACTTTCTTTACGTTGTTTGTCAGCGTAAAACATCATTCTGTAAAATGACACTTCAACTTGTACACTCCAAAGTAAACCTACCATATAGGAAACACAGAGAGGATTAGAGATTGAAAATTTGGATTAATGAGTTACTAACTAAAATAAACACAAGCTGTGTGATGAATCTTGCACAACAGGTGTTTGCACATTTTCTCAGCTTGACGAATCATCTCACTACAGACTCAAACGGTGATTAAATGCTCTCCTGCTCCCGTCTCAACCTCGAGTGAGCCCAACACACTCACTTCACTTTCAACCGCTGAATGTTGGCATAAATCAAGGATTCCTGTATATTTCTCTGATACAAAAGCTAACATTCCTGCTTTTTTAAAATGTTTTCTGTCAAATTCCATAAATTTTAATGGACCAGGAAAGCAAGAGCTTGATTAAACCAGAGGGGGATATCTTCACCTTAAAAGATTAAGAAAAACGTACATAAAATCATCTCCTGTGCTTACTTTCTGTTGTTTGTAGGTTTTACTACACTTAGATCTACAACAATTCAGTCCTTTTCAACAGTTTCTTCACATTTTCTTTAGTTTTCTGCCATACCAATGAATTTGACAGTCTGAAGGAAAGAGCAGATAACTGGTAGATCAGTAACAGTAACCTTGAGCAACTAAAGACTTTGGTAGCAATTCCAGATGACTAATACATCATTATAGCCATAAGTACGAGATCACCAGGGCGATTCCATCTCAGATCATCTGTGGCCTTCTGCTCGACCATCTCTGATTTGCTTAAAAAATGTTTTAACATATTTTCTTTTACAAATTGCCCACGATCCACTTCTGACATGTTTTTTTTGCACACTCAAATTTTACGTTTGTTTGGATGACAACCTGTCAGGAACTATAAAAGGAAATTTTCGCTGTTATTTCTTATCGTGCCATTGAGCTAGAATTTGCAATATTGCCAAAGTAGATCAAACACTCGCTGTCGTTTAGACATAGCCTCAAATTTCAATGTGTAAAAAAAAACTTGCTAAAAGAGGGTTGACAGGCAATTTAATAATAAATACATTTAAAAATTTGGAGAATATTTACAATACAAATCTTACATTTCACAAATATCTTCATAAATATCCATACTTCATGCTACCAAAGTTTAAGGCAAATTAGCAAATCTAAAAATGTGATGATTTGTGATGGAACTGAGGCCAAATGTTTGACCAAGTTCAGCCACAGCAGGACTGGTGGTTCAACTCCACATACCTACAGATCTGTTATGTAACAAGGACTACTCACTGTGTTCAGTGCACCACTGTCACACGGTTAATATGGCATTCATTGTTTCAGCTAACGTGACTAAAAAAAAACATCCATCAACAGAAAAGTCCCCATTTACCGGCTGCTCCTTTTAACCGTGACCTTTTGTGAGCATGTGAAAGACTATTCTGCCACAGCAACAGCAATGAGACAAAAATACAAAGACCCAGATGACCTGTGCCACCTGGTTTTAAATGACCTTCACGTAATGTGGACATTAATATGTTTTCTAAAGATGGAATAGGTGCAACCTTGACAGTCTTGTGGGATTCATTCGATTGCTAGACACACACGGTGAGCAACAGAGAGAAAGCCGAAAGTAATGATCAGCTGAGGATAGTGTAACTATCAGCTAAATAAATGGGATGCAGGAACAGCAAAGCCTCCTGGGTAACAGCGTTGGACAAAGATAATTCGACCTTGCCTTGTGGATGTCCAGTTTTGCCTGAATTTTCTTTTTTTTTTTTTTCACAAATAAGGCACAGATAAAGCTTTATCTTAAAAGTTGGCCACCGGCAAGAAGTTAACAGAAAGGAAATTTAATTTTTCTAAAATTCTTTTGGGAGTTTTCCCACAAAGCTTCAACGGCCGGAACAGCCTCCATGAAAAATGATTCCCTGAAAATAAAAGCTTTATTCATTCACAGTCGTCCCTCTGTGAATAAATCTAAATGAAATCAAATAACGGGTTGAATTGAGTGTTTAGGGGGCTTGCAAGCCTTCATTCCTCTTATTTAGTGGCAAATAGTGAAAGACTGCTGCTTGTGACAGTCAGAATGCAGACAGGGAGTCAGAGAGGATGAGGCTCCAGAGGGATGTTATTCAAGGGCAAGAGAGCAGAGAGATGGGGTGCGTTACTCAGCTGTCTTTAGGCTCTGTGGATCGCATTTTAGTCAAATAAACTCTCCTTTACTTCTTATCCAGCGTCTAATCTAACATAGCTGACGGAAACACAATTTCCAGCCCTGCCTGCCTGAGAGGAAACCTGCCTCATTATGCAGAGATATGATTTAGATAACGGCTACAAACACGCGCTGTTAATGAGAAGCAACAAGTGTAGATCTAAAACTTTAATAATCCAGACAAAAGGCCGTTGGAGGAAGTGAGCGGGACGTATTGCGCCATCCGCTCCGTTGCGGTTTTTGAGTTTGAATGAAAATGTGTAACATCAAAGGGTGTTTTCAAGTCTCAGATTTGGCCTATTGAAGTCCTGTGACAGATGTGGCACTGGTGCTACAAACTGCAGCGCCTGAGCTGGTGCAACACACACGTACTTGAAAGAACATATTAATGATTTAAATGATTGGTTTATTTCCATTAATAAACAACACAATGATTTGCTTCAGCTAAAAGCAGATTACACTCATGTTAAAAAATCCATAAATATAAGGACTGGAGGAAGGGGAACACGTGATGTCATGGAAGTAGTTTCAGGTAACTCATTTACAATGCAGGCCTGAATAGAAGAGCAAACTACAATGGAAATGATATAAGGCAAGGGGACACACGAACAGAGAGACAGCAATGGAAGACTGGCTGTGTTGGCTCAGCTAAATGGAACCCTCTTTAATATGATGGATGTTTATTATGGCTGTAAAATAGATAAAAAAGACAAGAGTCTTTCTCAAGGTGACCACTGCTGCAGTTTTCTACGCTCAGAGCTGATATGTGATGTTTCACTTAGAGCATGTTGGACAAGAGAAGCTTTAAAGATGACAGGCACTTGTGCGTCTCTTTTCTGAATAAAGAGAACCAAAACTCGGACGGCAAAAGCTGAGCCTCGAGCCATTTTAGCAAACACACACACACACACGTTCACACAGAGGGAAATGTGCCGAGATGGAACTTACCTCTTCCACAGAGATTGGAAGAATCACTCGACTGCAAGAGAACAAAAAAGAATAAGAGAAGTTAGTCAAAGAGTCAAACCAAAACTTTGTTCCTCCTGAGCTTGTTGTGAAGGAGGTTATGTTTTGAAGCTGAGGTGAAGGATTTGTTCTGTCATTCTGAAAGTCACTGACTATAACGTACATGGAGCAGACATACAGCAGTTCCATTTCAACTGAGAAAAACAAAACAAAAAAAAATAGGGCATCAAAATCCTGATGGTTGTGTTCGGATCACTTAAGATTTGCACCTTTTTTTAATCATCTCTTTTTGCTGATAACAGTCCTGTGATAGGATATATTGCTGACGAGGCCTGTTAATGGTTAACTGTTAATCAAACAACTGCTGTTTATAATTTATCAGAACAAAAAAAATATTAACCAATAAAGCTGAAAACACATGTCAGATAACATACTGTACATGAGCTGCAGTACCTGGTTGCACCACCAGGTGGGGCATTTTACTGTTTAAATAGATCGATTGTGATTCGGATAGTGAGCTTAAGTAGTCCTACAATCGAGATGCTTTTATGTCAAATGTTAGCTTTCTGTGGTTAAAAATAATTTTATCAGCATATGGAAAAATGCCCACTGCCCCTCACTGATTATAGTAACGAATTGAACGCTGATTGATAATCGGCTATCGGTTAGGGGAAATTGTGAATGCATTACAAAGAACTGCCTGAAATAAAATGACTAAGAAAAATCTTTATTTACATGCATTCACTCTCAGCATGCAAACATATGTCCAATCAAATGGAGGCTTGGCTACATGGGTCACACCACGTGGCCAATCGGATGAGGTCGTCAGCTTTCCTCAGATTGATTTCTGTCAATGTGGTGGCGACTGTGATGGTAGCTAGGTTGATGACAGAATAAGGAGAGAAAAGTGAGGAAAACATGAATAGATGTTTTGGTTGAGCTTAGAAGAAAATATTTTAAAGAAAGCAATGGACACTAAACAGTAATTTCTTTATATTTATTTTTATCCTATTTAAATGACTGTTCTGTTTAATTGGTTGTTCAATCATGTGCAGTTTGTTAAACAAAAGCATATTCAAAATAATTTATTTCTTTTTTTAATATATTTAATGGGAACAGGTTGTTGAGTGTTTGGTGTATATGTTAACTTATTAAAGCAGAAAGAGTCATCTTGTCATTGCAGTACTGAACAATGTTATCGCACATTGCAGTGTTTCCTCACATTGTCCAGGCCTAAAGTGGTAGTTGTTGTTTAAGTCTGTGATAAATTAGTTATTTCAAAACTCATTACTTCAATTTTATTACAACTATACACATTTCTCGGACACTGTGTGAAGAGTTTATTTGGTTTCGCTGTAGCCGTGCAGCATATTCATTAAGAACGTCAGAGCAAAAAATCCTGGAAAAAAAATGGTGTGCTTGTTCTTTCTTTAATTTGGTAGTAATGAACTTTCTCTGCGAGCTGGATTAGGCTGGAGACACGCTGACATGCTGGCAACATGAAGAGATATTTTTAACCATTTAGTTCTCAACAGATAGGGACACCAATTTTCTAACAAACATGCATTTTTTTTTCTCCATTGTGGTGACCCGGAGGGATTCCTCAGCTGAGCCGGAGGAGGCCGACAGGGATTGGTAATGAGCCGCATGTACAGTAATGAGGTATACAAACAGCACGTGACAATTTGTGGCTCCGACAGACAATTCATAGGTTGCTCTTTTAAGAGGAGTTTCATCTTTTATAGATGAACAGCAGCCGGACTTCACTGTTTCTGCAAAGTCAATGACTGAGCTACCTCTGTGTTTTCTGGCATGACGCATAAAATCTACAATAAAGGAAAAATGCTGAAGTCTAACATGGACTCCAAGCTCAAAAAACAACAACAAAAAACAGCCCATTAGGTATAAAATTCTGCACTGAGTCACCAAGAAATAATAAATCATCTTTACTTTGCTTTTCAGAAAAAAAACACGAACATATGCTTCACCGAAGGAGGCAACAAAAAAAAAAAGATCAAATGCAAAAACTGAGATTTGAAGCTTTTTTTCAGGCTTTTGAACAGTTCTCTGAAGAAGGTTTAAAATAGAGGTTAACTTATATAAGGAGAAGTTTTTAAAGAGACATTTTAACTTGGTTTAAGTGCATCTTTCACTTGTTATTAAAATGTTTTTATTATGTTTTATAGTTTCCTTGGCATTTTTGGTATCTTATAATTATGAATTGCAACTCTTTCATTACAAAAAATGCCTAAATGTTTCTGCAGGTCAGCTGAACACATCCCAGTCAAATCCACCTGCATAAATAAAGATTAATAAAATAAAATGTATACACAAACATCATTTGATAGCTCATCTGCTCCTGTTGTTTCGCCATATTTGTGTTTGTCTCAAACACTGTGTGTTTCACCACTATGTTCACAAAAGAGTAATGGGAAATGCAGCCGGCTAACAAATGGCCACAGGTTACACACCACCAACAAAATGATGACATCCCTGCCCAGCAAATTTGCTCTTGGCTCAGAATGAGACAAGAACAAATTTGTTTTTGTGCACAGTTGACCGGGTGGCAGAAGGCCCAGCGAAACTAAAATAAAAGGTAATGGTGAAACGCACAACTAGGAGTACACAGAGAGCCCGTTGCCCTGTGCAAACAATGCAAATCATTAAGTGCAGTACTCTGCTGTAAAAATCTTTCTGATAGATTTACCAATATGATCTGATAATGGGTTGCTGTATTAATGCACAGGCAACATGCAGTGTGCCATTAACTGCAGGCAGTGAGGTACGAAATAAAAACTGTAAAATGTTGTAATTTAGCTCGCTACAGTGAAGAATGATGAATCCATCAGTCATAAACTTCAGGAGCAGTTCTTTAGTTTAATTCTTTGGTTGTACACTTCACAGATCCAGCCACAGCACTAACATGTTGAGAAATACTAATTTTGTACACGTGTGCAAACACACACACACACACACACACACCACATCTGGGCCCCTTAACATCATACACAACGGAGCTTAAACACTTTACCTTGTTTCTGTGACCCCAGTGCATCTTGTTCCACACAATGCACGTGTACAGTATGCAGCTTTGTTGATTGTTTGTGTGAGGTATGCCCAAATTCACATAATCCTGCATCCTACTCGCCACTGAATGTAATCTGGGCCTGAGATCCAGCCAGACATTGGATGTTGGACCAGATGCCGTAAGCAAGGCCGAGACAGTCTGTGCTGTCAAATGACAACACTAAAATAGGATTGAATATACAGTATAGCTTCTATTTTTCTTTATAACGGACTCTTGCAGCTATAAAACTCTGTCAGCCACATTTAAATATTTATTACAGATTGTCTTTTTTACAACGCTCACATCTACTAAAATAAATTTGTTCGATAGCCCAACATGAGGTAAATATTACAAACTGAGCAGCCTAGAAAAGCAGAATTTAAGCTTCAGTAATACAAGAGCTGAAGCCACCATCGTGTTCTTTCTCTCTCTCTGCTAGTCTCCTTGGTCTAACGGTCTTGACGGGAGGATCAGGTGTCTCTCTGTTGCTTCAGAAAACAAACACCCTTCTTCTCTCCTGCATCGCACATCTTTTCTCTCTCCTCCTTCGCCTCTTCTTTTTTCACTCCGTCTTCCTCTTTCGCTGCTTCTACGCCATTGGCTTTATCACATTTTATATCGCAAAGAGGCCACTGTATTGCTTGTACACCTGCCAAAGCTCAAGGAAGTGAAGAAAAAAAAGTGGACCAGGAGTGATTTAGGTCAGTGGTTCAGGTGAGCAGTAGAGAGTCCCAAAAAAAAAAAACAGTCTGTACTACATTAGGACATGGATCAATTCAACGTCTCCTGCCCCCCCGGGTGATGATATCTTGGTGCGTGTGAGTGGCTGTGCATGTACAAGCCTCTTGGTGTGCTCTGTGTGTTGACAGTATGTAAGTGCATTCAGCATTTAATCGTGACCGATTTAATTAATTTCCAGGCAGACTGCTGAGGCCCAGACTCTCCCTAATCACTTCAGATCTTTAGCCATGCCATCACTCTGATCCTGAGCTTTTCTGTGCCGGGCCATTTATTGATTAAACACATGTGGTGGGAAATCAAGACGATAATCGGTGTCGATAAATGTATGCTCACTTAAACCTGATTTTGATTAATTGATATTTTTTTTCCCAATCAGATACTTTTGCTGCCAGTATCTCCAATTGTGAGCCCAATTTACAGCAGTTTGGCGCTGACCTTGTCACTGAGTTGTGTTAAAATCAATAAAAATACACTTAGAATAGAAAATTAGGAAAAAGACAAGCTATATTTCTGAATGTTTGACTTAAAGAGGAGGCAACTCATCTGAAACTATTAAAACACTGAGGATGCTTAAGAAAAGAGACTGATGGGGTGTTTTTTTTTTACAGGTGGGTCATCAGCTTCTTAAGGCAAAGTGAGCCTCATGTACACACTGACACCAGTTAAGAGCATTAAAATGAGGGAACTACCACCCTGTCTGAAGTGACAATCCTGGCTAATATCTGATTTTATCCATTTGAAGGCCAACATCATCCCAATTCTAACCACCAGCTGATTCTGAGCAGGCCTCAGTCAGTGACAGAGCTCACAGAGGCCTGCAACAGCAACGTGCTAAAACAAAAGTGTTAAAAAAAAAAATCCTTTTCCCTCTGCAGGCACATGCCACCTCTACATGCCACTATGTCCCTTCGGCCCAGCAGTCAAATTCTCAGAAAGAATCGACTGGTGCGTCAAAGCCTCGCCATTTGCCCTTTCTGCCAAAGCTTTTTGCGCCCACCTCTTCCACCTGCCCCACTCCCCCACCCCTCCTTTTGCCCCCTCGAGCATCCCCTCCACCCCCGGGTCATTCTACACCTCCATTCCTCCAGAGGTAAATGCCGGAATGCTCCATCGGTCGTTTCACCTTCACCGCGCATCAATAACATGGCCACAGCGGCTTACAGGGATGGACGCTAGCGCGGCACGGCGCGGCTTACGCCAGCCATTTCTCCCCTCAGCACCACCGCTCCTGTCGAGCATCCGTCATTTTATCGCTACAGCAAAGGGAATTATTCTTATTCGCCCACCCCCCCCCTAAGTCAAAGCCTCTCGATTTCACTTGGAGGCTTGTGATGCAAGATGTGAAGGGCATAGCCATGCGCCGGCTGCTGATGCAACTACAGCCGCCGCTTCATTATCTCTCAATTTATTCAGCGAACACTTGAGGCTGATGACAGAGTCTCATGCATGAAAAATGATCATGGAGTCAAATACACGGCATGTCGACATCATCCTGACCACACGCTTATAATTCCCCTCTCGGGCGACTGGCCACAATGTCAGCGCTGCGAAACCAGACGGATAAACGCGCACACGTCCTCCTCTCTCTCACACTCACACACGCAACACACAGCTACTTACAATTCCTTTATGAGCATTTTTTTTTCCGGCGTTGCAGTAAATCCTAGAGGGCAACAGCTCCAATATAGATCCAGAAACAGGGTCGATTCCTCCCTCCGTTTGTCTCTTCTTTCTCCGCTCGCTTCTCTCCCACCTCTCCCCCTCTATGTCATTCTACCTCCACAGTCGCTTATTTTCTTCAAATTCACTTCCTGATCGGGGCCGCGGCGCGGCGTTGCTGTTGCGCGCAGAGCACCGAGGCCTGTGCAGAGAGGAGTACACACTCAGAAACGATGGTTCTCCAGGGGAGTGGTCTGCGGTTGTTGTGGTGGGTCCGTACGGCCCGGAGGTGGTTGATGAAAGGGCCAAACTCATTCATCCAGTTTTCAGTTGATAAATTCACTTACAATCACATTTCATTAAACAAATAATAATAATTCCACTAACAGCTCACTACAAAGCTGTGTAACTCTACAGATACTTGAAGAACACAGGTGCTGTTTTCCCTAAAAAAATAAGAAAAATCCAAAGCAAACCAAAACAGATATTTAACAGGAGTTGCTGAGAACGTGTACATGTCAGACTGAGATATGATGAATTAAACTAAACAAGGATAATAAGAATAATTTAAGCTGGATCATAAACATAAATGTACCACAATCAATCCAGCAATCAAAGTTTATTTAAATAGCCCTTTACAACAGACCAAAGTGTGACCAAAGTGCTTCACGATTTTGTAAATTAACAGTGTGAACTGATCCATTTTGGGGAAGCATGTTGCTATGCACAGGTCTTTTATTCCTACCTATTTCAAAGTGCGTTTTGAAAATGAACCACACCTGTTCTTGGCACTTGATGCATATTTAAAAAGAAAAATAAAAGGAGGGGGGGTAAGGATTTGCAAAAGAATTGCAACATCAGATTTGCAGCTGATTTTTACGCACAATAAAAAAAGAAGAAAACCAGCATATAACAAAGTAGCACCCCTGCTGGGTCAGCTGATCGTCCCTGCACCGTTTTTCTACAGAGTGTGCAACATTGTGTGTCATCGTGACAGTGATGACGTAGAAGCGTGGCTGTTCACCATCAGAGTGTGACACGGGGACCACCGCTGGCACGGACGCACCGTGCGTCAGCTCCCTAAGCCTTTTCAAAAAGTCCTCGCATCTGATGTGATTATCTCCCTCCGCAAACCGTTCCTGTCCACTACATACCTGACTGACATGGCACCATTTTGTTTTACGTTCTAATTCATTTTTTTTCTTCCTTACGGTTTATCTCCACAATTATCATATCAGATCTGTACAGTCACAGAGGTTGAACCAATTCACATTGGAATTAGGCTGTTCTTCAGTTCTCTCAAGGAGCTCTGGAGGTCCCCTGACCACGGTTTGCGCCCACCGTGCATGGCTCTACGGGGTGGTGTTGGTGCGTGATGCTAAGACAAAGCACCACAGGTCCCTAATCCTGTCCCACGTCCCGGAGATCGCGGGATGTGAGTCTAAAATTATGTAACTGCTGTATTTATAGCGCATCTGTGTCCGTCTGCCAGCATCCGCTTATCATTCCTCTGTCTTCTTAGCCTATCTGCAGGACTGCCTCTATCTCCTGTACTAACCAAATATCTATCTATCTATCTATCTATCTTGCAAAGTCAGGGTTGCCAGTGCCTTCAGTCAGATTACATGTCATCCAACAACAGCATTTTCCATTAGAATACAGAGAAGTGCCATTCAAAGGGATCTATACAGATTTGTGTCATGATGATTTTGAATTAAATTGTTAGATTTAAAAAAATAAAGTTTCTAATAGAGTCGAGAAAATGCACTTTAAGCCCATATTTTAAACTACTGAGGCCAAACTGTTCAATAGAACATGATGCCAGCAGTCCACCTCTTGCTCCACAGTGAGTTCATAAAGCAGTGGTCTCATGTTGCTTCTTTGAACCGGAACACACCACAGGGATCATTCAGCCAGCAAACAGTTTGTCCAGCAGCAGCAGCAGCAGCAGCAGCAGCAGCAACGGTAGTAGTAGTACCTGTACAGCAGCGCTCCAATAGCCACTGTCCCTCCCTGATGTTAGTGACGCTCTCTCAGATCTCGTCTCAGGTGATGAGAGGGGCCGAGGTGTCAAATGATAACCATCTGCTGGAGTGTAGTATCAGATGGCAGACCGGAGTGCTGACAGACCTGGAAAAAATCAACCCTGTAGTAGTGAGAGTGTGGAACAGGAACATCTGGTGGAAAAACTGTTCAGAGTCACCCTTAATCTCACCTCTGAACAAGATTCCTTGGGGATGTGGACTCAGGAGACATCTCCTTCTTAAACACTGTTGCTGAGACAGACTGGCATTTTAAACATATTTAGAGTGTTTTCTGGATAACTACAGGTTTACACATGAAAACTATGCCAGTTGTGCAGCTCTGAAAACAGAACTAAGGTCAAAAGGTGTATACATATTTTTGCATTGCAGGTTCAAATGATTGGTAAGCTAGCTTCTGTTTCTGTTGTGTCTCAGTGTTTAAATCCTGATGTTTGTGTATCAAAAATTCAGGAGGACTTGGCTATAGTTCAATTGTAATTAGGCCTAAAGGGCTGAAATTTACCCTGGACACCATGGATCCAGTGTAGTTTCTGCAGAAACACTGCTAATACTGACCTCTGCTGGTTGGGTGCCAACAATCCCTCTCCCTTTGGGCACTTTCAGAAATTCTGCCTAGTTATAAATATAAGCACAAACTTCATTTACAGGCACAAGCTGTAAAACTCTGAAGAGCACTGGTGTCCTATTAAACTGAATTTCAGATGACAAACCTTACCATAATCTGTTGTAAGCCAATAAAAGACAGCAGCTTCCAATTTTGTATTTAGAATTTTGAGAAAGAGGTTGTTTTTGAAATAGAAAATAATAAATTCCAACTCTGTTATGTCACCAGATTGACTACATTTTCAACCTCCACAGTTCAGGCAATAGTTTAAGAATTAAACAGACACTCAGTGTAGACTGGTTTACAGTGAAAAAAAAAAGCAAGAATCTTTATTAACCCCCACAAATTCTTCCATATTAAACACCTGCATAACAAAACATCTCTACATTATCGTCACTGATAGAGGAAGAAGCTCTACACAAACAGCACATGAGACATATGAGTAGTTGCCAGCACAGCACAATTTAAATAAACCAGCAAATTTATGATGTGTGAAGGTGAGTGTAAAATAAAATAAATACACATATGAAGGCAGGGGAAAAAAAACAACCAAACATAATTAAAGACTATTTCTCCTGAGAAGCTTTAGGAGAAAGTGCTGAAGTGAGCAGAGGTTGTGCAGGGAAAAGAAGGAGGGGAAAGTGTTGTATTTCTCTTGACAGTCGGCAGACAGATTGAATGAAATACTAACTTAAAGCGAAGGCACCTGAATGATAAAAAAAAATTTATGGATTCACTTAGTGAAAACCATCCAGTAAATCAATGTGAAAAGGATGTGACTATGTAATGCAGTGTTTTCACTGTGTGATGTGTAAAAGTTCAATGAAGCAATCTTCTCTTTTACACATTCAAAAGGCACCCCTGGTAAAATACAAAAAGAAAACTAAAGCAAGCAGGAAATAAAAATAAATACCCTAAACATACACGAACAATTTGCTTTTAGCAAAATTTACCACAGTTTGTTTGATGTCTTAAAAGAATACCTCCCCCCCAAAAATACAGACATCCATCTGATACTATGGTCTATTCTAAGCTATAGTCGTGATCAGATGTTAGCCTTGCCAAAAAAAAAAGCAAAAAGAAAATTCCAGCTACATAATTAGTCATGACTGTCTTCTCTACTCGCCCGAGAAACATCAGCAATAAGGTTCTTCTTCTCTGCCACTCATTTACTCCACATTTAACTTACACCATCTGACAAAGAAACCCAGACAGGTAGCACCACGCTATTGGAGTTACAATGATTTAAAGTCAACAAATAACATAAAAAGAAAAAAAAAAAAAAAACAGCACACGCATGATGACAGAATTTCTCACTAATTGGAGCGAGGTTGGCTGTGAGGGTGACATTTCGCACTCTTGTTGGTTTCACAGGTCGAGATTCTTCCCTTTTTCTGCTCGTGTGGAGGATATGAAAGCAGTCTCGTGTGCAGTAGAGCTGCACTGGTGTGCTGCTCATACAGTGGGGGGGATAAAAAGAGAAGTCAGAGGATTTGGGGGAATACAGAGGACAGATGCCTCCTTCCTTTCACAGTCTTTCCTCTCGCTTGTTCTTCATTTCCCCTCCGTGTCTCACTTTTCTCCTCGCCGTCAGCCGAGTGAAATGCTTCTGTGACGTTAGTTTGTCTTCGTGGGATTTTGGAACATTGGATGTGGCAGTCTGTTGGTGTCTAATCAACAGCGACAATACTGTGTTAAATATTTCAGCTGTCCTTTTACGACAGATTTCTCATGCTGATGTGTGCATGCATCATTACATCGCCCATATTTCTCAGTGTCTCCTTCATTCCCTTCTGCGTTTACTTTTCCTCTAGACGAAGGCCTCGGGGATGTCAGAGCCGTTGATTCTGATGTAGATCTTGGCGTCGTCGTCTTTCCTCTGCAGCTCTTTGTGGAGCGTCCGTCTGTAGCAGATCAGGTAAAGAGGCAGCAAGAAGCCCAGCATACTGAGCACGAGGAGTCCAACATTGACCTGGAGGACAACACCAGAATTAGTCATGCCCGAGGGCTTAATTCGTGTGTGTGTGTGTGTGTGTGTGTGTGTGTGTGTGTTTGACGTGTGTGTATTCATACCCAGAGTGGGTCTCCCTCCAGGGGTCCCATCATAGCCAAAAACAGGGGTTGCTGCAGCAGAGCAAACACAGCACTGACCAGAGACTGCATTCCTGTCAAGCTGCCGAACTGTGAGGAGGGATACCTGCAGAGGCAGAAAAGGTCAATTTAGTTTCTCAGTTTGAATCACAGAAGATCAAGATGAGGATATATATATATGTGTGTATGTGAGTGAGGTCAGAGGTCAACTGAGACTCACACAGCAGCGTAGAGGCCTCCGACAGCAGAGTGAATGAATCCTCTCACCACAGTGTGCAAGACGAACGACACGATCTGAGAGAAGATGAAAGCAGAAGAAATCAATATCCGTATTCATTTAGGAAATTCAGTCAGTTAGTTATAAAGGGTCTTAAAGGAGTACTTCATTTCAGGAAATTTGCAAGTTAAATGAAAAGATCTAAGCTGAACAGGATGATATCGATCTTCTCATCCAACTCTCAACAAGAATGCCAATTAACATATTCCCAAAACTATTTAAGTACCACATCTCCACTGAATGGGCAGTGTAGAGTATACTGATGGAAATGTGTCTATTCACAGTTGTGCTGGTGAGGAAAAAACGTAAAAAATGCAGGATTTTCTTTGCCAGGAATTGATATGCAGATATTTTCCAACTGACTCTGGCTGACTGCCATTATCAATACTGATATATGTACATATTTTTCCATCTAACTGCAGAAAACATCAAGTCTCTCCTGTTGTGGAATTATAATATTTTTATGCTAACTCCTCTTGTAAGAGCCCACTGGCAGATGCAGACGCAAAATACAATGCTTTTACATATTCACTCGACAAAATAAGAAAACAATTTCAGCTTACATTTAAAACTTTTATCTGCTGCCTGTCAGTGTTTAGTTTGGGCCAGTGTTTCATTTTAAAGCCTTCACTGGCCGATACCGATCACGTGCCGATATCCTTGTGCATCCCTAAGGTTATGAATTCTTTAATACTGACAGCCGAGGTGGACTGCTCACCTGCAGGGGGAGATTGGGAATCAAGCACGTGATTCCAAATCCCACTAAAAGGACGTTTGTCAGGACGAATGCTCGCAGGGCGTTGGTCACTTTCTGAGTCTTTTTGTCTCTGCTCTTTTTCTTTGGTTCACCCCTACGATTAAAAAAGAGAGAAGGAAGAGAGGTCAAATTATTTATCTTACAATTTGCATTTTACAGTAAAGGTTCATTTCTGAGTTCTATTAATCCCGTCTGGTAAACAGCACTCATGTCTGGGTCTATAAATGGAAGCGGTTTAAGGCAGAGGGTTTGTTCTGCATTGTAAGCGACTGCTCAGACTTGACTCACTTGCTGAAGGGCTCCTTTTCTTCTTCACCATCATCACAGTCCTTCAGCTTCCAGTCCATGATCTGACCAATCACAGGAGTCGTCATCAGGCAGAGCAGCTGCAGCATGCCGAAGATGGAGGAGTACAAACTCACTGAGGGAGGCAAGAGAATGAGGACAAAATGGTTGAAGAAAAAGTAGAATAGAATATTATTAAAGTTAGATTGGAGGAGGGGGAGTAGTTAGAATGACGGATTAAAAAGGCGACTGAGATGGATAGGACGCTCTTCTACCTTGTTAATTTAGAACTACTGTTAATAATTACAGCCATATTGAGTGAAACAACACTGAAAATTGAGAAAATGTTGCTTCAAAAGTCAATAACAAGCGATTACGAAGGGACTTTATGGCTGGGGGAGTAATGGAACGTGAAAATTGCGCCATGTGAAATTGCTCATGATGTGTACACTTTGCTGGTGCTGAGGGGCAAAGTTAGTTAATAAGTACAACAAATGGTGGTTTAAGATTAAAGCTGAATGACAGCTGAAGGACTGGGTTAAGGCCAACTGATGAAATAACAAAAGTAAAAAAAAAAAAAAAAAGAAAGCTTGAGGTGATTGTGCATCTGATACTATAAAGTATTGTGATGACAACCCTATATAAAACTAGAGGTGAAATGGTACATGTTGTCAGTCCGGTGGTTCAGTAACCTACTGATACAACTAAAGACTTCATCTTACCAAGTTCCATCTTTTCCACTGAAAATGTAATCACAATCAAATAAGTCCATCTGCTTTTAGGTCATGATTCAAAGTTACTGAGCAACATATTCATATTCATCAACGCATATATTTCAAGCAAAATGCAGAAAAACCGACCTTTGTTGAGGTCGCCGCCACTGAGTGACTCCAACACACTGTTCATGGCCCCCATGTAGAACAAGAGACGGAGCTGAGTGACGGACATGGTCACCAGACTGAGCAGGAAAATTGGGGTGCTGATAGTTTTCAGGAATGACTGGGCTGCAGAGGAGAAATAAAAATGAAAAAGTCGTAAATTATATGAATTAATGAGAGAAACTCAAAGAAGGGGGTTAATTTTAACTAAAAAAACCCAGCTAAGAATCTTAACTAGGAAGTCTTGAATACTCTTACACTCTTCCTGTGGCTTGCAATCCATTTCCAGATCCATGGTGGACAGGCAAAGATTGGGTCCGTCTTTAGTTGCTACCTCCTTCTGCTTCAGGTTGCTGCCGACGCTCAGCCGACGGCCCACTGTGGTCACTTGCTGGTAGAACTGCTTCCCTGTGATTTTGTGGTCAAAGCCCAGCCAGCTGAACTTGATCTTCACACTGAGTAAGCGGAGGAGGAGGAGAGGGGGATGAAAAAGGAGAAATAAAGGAATGGAAGTACAAGACAGACAGTGAGCGAAGGAGGAGAAAGGAAAGTAAAGGAAGGACGGGGGTCATGGAGGAACAATGAAAGGAACAAAAGAATAGAAAAATGATGACAAGGCCTGTGCAAGTCAGTCTACTGGAAATATTTTCTGCTAATATTATCATAGATTTACCAGAAGGGTGAGTTTAGTTGACACGTGTGATTATCAGCAAAGAGACTTTAACCAGACAGCCCTACGTTGCACATTTTTTCACATGTTACGCAAATATTTGTCAAACAGTTTCAGTTGGTCTGCACTTATGTTTATAGTTTCAATGATGATGGCTTCTACGTGTGCTTGGAAACATACACAAGACTGCTATTTCATCATTAGTCCAACTAGCTGTGTTTCTAAAACACACAAAAGTCCCAAATGTTTTGTTTTTTTTCTATTATCACTGTAAGCAAATGTTAGGTCTGGATTGGTGGGAAGGGCTCAGAGCCAATGAGAGAACTGGCTCTGTTAGTGACGTATTGCTGTGTTTGTGTATTAGTACATGTCCTGCAAATGTTATCTTTGTGCCACTGTCTGTATCTGTAATGCTAACCTGTAGTCCATGTCGTCTGGTCCTGGGAATGGTTCCAGTGGCCAGTTGAAGAAGCAGTTCAAGAAGACCAGTCCGGCACAGGCAGCCCACACCACCAGAATAGTGATGAAAGGTATGCCGTAGTCATAGATCACCTATGGACAAAACATGACAGGTAAATACGAAATATAGTGGAGACAAGAAATGTAAGACATCAGAAATCTTTTGGATCTGCAACTCCTTCATTAAGCAGTGTCTCATTACCCGATGATAACTTGTGGAACGTTTTAAGTTACTTGATGGTGCCATACACAGATGAAAGGTCTTTCTTGGGTTGGGGTTACTTTTTTTTAAATGCTACTCAGTACTCAGTTAATATACTATTTTTAAAGCATTCCAACAATTTGACGGTGATTCAGTGTTTGTTACCTTGACGCCAGGGAAGGTGACAGCAGAAGAGGCATAGGAGCCAATCATCAGGGCGATGAAGGTTGAACGGAGGTCCCCAAACATGTTCGGGAGCTAAAAAAAAAAAAAAACACAAAGAAAAAGAGACTTGTTGAGCTTCTAAACTATTACATCATCAAAACCTGTCTTTCATGTATTCCAAACTTTGCTTTTTGCACAAAGTTTCAACTGAAGCGAGGGATATTTCATTGTGTTTGCAAGTATAGAATGAAGACCAACTATTGCCAATCACAGTGAACTCAGCTGCAGTGTAGCTGATGAGACAGACTCAGCAGGTAGAGAGGACGGTTCACCAATTGCAAGGAAGGTGGTCTGATTTCTCTATATACCGAAGTGTCCTCGGGTAAGACACTGAACCTGAAGTTGCTGAATGGCAAAACTTTTAAAAGTATTGTGAGTATCACTAAAGTAGAAAAGCGCTACATAAGTGCAGATCCTTTTCCATTTACTAGAGGGGCTATGAGGATGGTGCCTACTGACACCGGGGTCGGAGAGCGCAGCGGGGACCCATTAGAAAGCAGACATGGCTCTTCAGAAAGAACATCAGAGAAAATAAAAAGACAAAGTTACATGGAACCAGTAGGAGCAATATAAAACAGCATCACATAACACGCAGCTGTCCAACGCACGACACCAAGACACCGCCGGCGAATTCTATACAGCTGAAACAATCCGAGGGGGTGACCGAGGTGAGGTGACATTCGAGGACAAAAGAGATGAACTGAACACAGAAGATGGTAAAAGACGGTTCCTTTTGTACCCGTCGCTTCCATTTGAGGAAAAAAGGAAGAAAAAAAAACATAGATAGCAAGAGACAGTGGGTGGCAAAAGATCCAAATACAAAGGCATTCACAAGCTGTTCTGTTTGCAAGAGGCTGAACAACAACAAGCACATTCAATTACATAAGAGTGGGGAAGCTAAGGAAGAGGTATGTGTTTGTGTGTGTGTTACACTGAGAGGACACGTGCACTGAGGCGCCCAGGTTACACTGTTTCCCAGCACAATCATCAGGAGCACTTGGCAAACTATTCCAATAGATTTTAAACGTTACAGATGAATTAGCAGCTGCTGGATGAACCTGAAGGTGACCTGACATTGGCAGGGAGCCAGCAGTCGCCGGCAAGGGCAGCGAGTGAGCGTTATCCCACACCTATCATCAGCTGAGAATGAGCGCCTGAAGGTCTGAGGAGAAGTCATGATCAAGGAGTCAAGGAGCAGGGTTGCGGCTAATGATTAACCCAACATTGGGGCTTTCTTGTATAGTCTATCAGGTTGTAAAGTAGATGAAGTGAAACCGAGTGTAAGGAGAAATCATGGTTTTATGCACAGACTCTGAAGGCTTCCATTGGCTGAAGCCTGCAGAAAAAGAGCAAACAAAGCTCTAAATCATGGTTTTACTACATCACTGACATTAACGCCCAGGGCAGCAACTAATGAGAGATTTTGTGTGGATGCAACAAATACCACATTAGAGATGAAAGATGTAGCAGCAGCAGCCCGTGGTGGTATAGAAACAGAGCATTTTACTGGGAGATTTACTGTAGCAGAGCCCCTTTTCGAGTGAACGGCATCACCATGGTACAGCCTTGGACTCCCGTGTGAGTCACCGCAGGCTGAACTGATGACAATTAGAGCGAACAGGAGGATGAAGAATGGTGGGGAAAGAATGCAAACGAATAGCGAGAGGTCGACCCTGTGAACTCGGCAAATCATGAAGAGCAACAGTTGTTTTTGTCTGCCTCTGGATCTGTGGTTCTGCTCAAGGACGTTCGGAGTAGTACTGATTATGGGAGAAAAAAAACTTGTTGTTCCAAAGGAAGTCATATGAAAGCTGATGAACTGCCTTAAGAGCTGTCACTTGAGGTTGTGCTGTTCAAGCTTGAAACTTTTGAGAGTGATGCTGCATTGCTAATCGTGTTCTAAACATACATTTATGTGTTTGCTGTCCGTTGTATGCTCATCCAAGCCCACTTTGGATAAAAGAGAACGATAGGGAGAAGAGCATCTGCTATCATCGTCTTTCTGAGATTAAAAACAATGGATAGCAGAAAGTGTTAATGAGTCACTGCCGTTACTTTCTCTCGCTCTAATCAATCCCACTTCCTGCTATCTAAAGCTGACCCTGCAAGTCCACTGGAACACAGAGTTCAGTGTTAGAAGCCCAGAAAAAAAAAAAAAAAAAAAACAGAACAGGAGACAGGGTGGAATGCCAGACAAGAGGGGAGGGAGAGGGTGAGCAGGCAGGGAGCCAGCCAACTATTATAACAGAACGGCAGCAGCCAGACAAAGAGCTACGAGGATGGAAAATATACATCTGGACAAACATCGTGCGGCAGGTGCAAAGGCTCTACGGCAGGACGAGTACGACGCACGCAACGGTGCACGCACTTACTGTGAGAGAGGTGAAGGTCAAGCACATGCCCCCGAAGCCGTTGAAAGTCAGGGCAATGAAGATAAGGACAGAGAGTTCTGCAAATGAGACACATGTTCATCAGTCAGCGTGATACACTATACACTGCTTCAGATATAGTGCAAACATACACACATGGACTTACCATTTGGTTTGTAGGCTCCATAAGCGATGAGCAGACAGGACAATCCAAAGCACGTGCTGAAAATACATGATGACGTTTGGCAGTTTGACTATGTCTCTTTCGCCCCTTTCCCAAATTACATTTTCTCGTTTTCTTCTTGTGGTCTGTTGGTATTTAACCATTGTTTTGTTTTTGTTTTTGTTTGCTTTGTATTTTATTTCTTTTCGTTCACGGGAGTTGTCTTTGTTGCAACTTGTGCTTTTGTTTTGTTGTTTTATTTTTATGTCTGTGTGTGTTCTTGTTGTTTTATCTTAGTCGTTGGACTTGGTTTTGTTTGTGTTCGTCTTTTCCGTTTTCCTGCTCGTCGCTTCGTCTTTTTTGGTTGTGTCTTTGTGGTTTGGAGTTCCTTGTATTTTTATGTTTCCGTTGCCATTTGCGTTTTGGTTTTGGTTTGGGTTTTGTTTTTGTTGCTCGTCCTTCTTTTTGTGTGAGTTGGTGCTGCTTCTTGGTTTTGGGTTGGAGGTTCTTCGTGTTTCTGGAGCTCGTGCAAGTTCTGTTGTTATTCTTCATGTACAAGTGTAATTGTTATTTTTCGTTTTGTTTTGTTTTCTTTGCTTACCTGCCCAGCAGTCGTAACTTGCGAGGCCCATATTTATCCATGACGATCCCCAGCGGCAACGTGATGGCTGAAAGCAGGAAGGAGCCCACCGTGAAAGCCAGGTTCAGCATCTCATCCTGCTCTTTACAGATCAGCCAGCCATTCATCCTCAGGGCCCCATCCATAGGGACCAGAGGCCTCATCTCCACCCCGTCTCCCAGACCCACCACACCACCGTCGTTGTCGTAGTACTCAGCATACTCTTCAGATGCCGGTGTTGCCAGAGGTTGAGACAGATTGTAGCTGGTGCTGTTACCTAAAGAAGGGGATAAAAGTAGATGGAAGACAAGGAGTTAGATGTGTTCTTTCAGGATAAAACAGGCACACAAGTGGAAAATATGTCAGCTGAGACCGTTCAGGTTGTCAAAATGTGCCCATTTTCCTTACAAGGTGTCTTTTTTTTTGGATGATACTCATAAACAAAAACACCATCCATAAAAGAAGACAGTCATGAATAATTACGCGAGCGTTCAAGGCTGAGTTCAGTTGTGTAAGCAGCTGTGGCTTTGTGTCACACAGATTCAGTTTGAAGGTTGTGTATTCGATGTGTCATGGTCTTGTGTATTCACAGGATCATGATACATCAGCACATATTGTGGCTGTATGTGCAGTGAACACATGTAGAGTCGGCTGTGCAGTAAACCCCCAACCAGAAAATAACAACATGTCAGCAAATAATCTGCACAGACAGCAAGAAAATAAACTAGAAGGAAAAGATAAATGTCTCCCCGTAAAGACTTTGGGCCCAAAAGATTAAAATGTGAGATGCTATTTGATTTTTTTTCTTAGTACTTTGGAATGTCAGGGATAAAAAGTGATAAGCTGGCACAGGCAATAAACTTTACATTATTATCAGAATCTGCAAGAAGATACTGTGAAAAGGTGCAAAAGTCCAGGAGAAGAACAAGTGAAGGAGAAGGGGAAGCAGCGGTTTAGGAACTTATTAGAAACAGCTGATGTTTTCTAAATGACATGCTCTGCGGTATCAGCCACCTGATGTCACGTGTGGCAAGTATGTGCACGGCATCCCGATGTGAAACACAATGACGCACTTCATATCAAAGCACCAAAGCCAAAGGGAGATCGCTGATTGATAAACTATATGATGCTTGGTGTTCTTGTGGCATGTGCAGCAAGAAGATTTGATTAGGCAGCATAATGCAAAATTAATAGCTTGTTAAGGTCTTTATTACGTATTTATGTTGCATGTGTAATCTCATGTGTATTCTTAGCCTCTGATAAAATTAAGGCCGATTGACACCAAGCAAACACTATCAGCAAATGTACTTTAGATAAGTAGCAGACAAATATGCTTTAGGTTTGCCTTGTTTGCACTGATATTTCCTAATTCAGTTTTTATAAATATGAGCTAAAAAGGGAAATGCACTTGGTATAAATACCAGGAAATAAGTGCTTTGTCAAACTGTGCCCAAAAGTAACAAGAAACAGTCACACAGTCATACATGTGAAAAAATAGAATATTACAACTATTTTGATTGACTTATCCAAAACATGAAGTGGTGTTAAATTATCCTTTAGTGATACTCTGTAAGAAAAAAAAAAACATAGATTTTTTTTTCAGCTGTACTTTACAATAAGTTATTTTGCAGGTTTTTTCTATCTAGTTAAATTATACACAATGACTGGCAAAGTTACTAAAGAAATGTATTAATTTACACAAAAAAGCCCCAAAAAATCCATATTTTTATAAATGATAATTCACTACACTATTTTTTAAATGCATTTAAATCAGCAGATTTTTATTTATTTATTTATTTTTTAATAGCTTTTACCAGTTTTGGTGAATTGCAGATAACTAGTAAAATATAAACATAGATTTAAAAAATAAATCCTATAAAAATTATTAATTTACATGTTGACTCAAAAGAAAAACAGGACAACACATACATAATGTCTTGCATAATGCCTACATCATAAATCTGTATTTTTACAAATAGCAACTTATTCTTAGACAGTATGTGGCTGTAAATTACAGTTTTACTGTATTTAAATCAGCTAAAGATTATCATGATTATACAAAGAAAAAACTTTTTTTTCTTTTCTTTTTTTTTCTGGCATCCTTGCTGCCAATTTTTAAACCTTTTTTTTGTAAAAGTGTACATTAATCTGTAAATCATGACAATATAATATATTATTTGAAGTCAGACTAAACTACATTTTTTCCCCATTTAACATAAACCATCAACTATCTCATCCTTCAACCTGTGGCTTGTCCTCAAAAGATCAATCTACACTGTGCAACTACTATCTGTCATTTTACCATTTTGTTTTTACAATCTCCCCGACCAGTGTTCTGATTTCTACTGTTCATCATTTTGCTATCAGTCCCCTCTCCCTCCCTGCCCTTTATCAGTGTACTTTAAACTTCCATATTACCAGTAATAAAAGCCTGCCGTGGCTCTCTTTGTTCCTCTATCTCATGTCACATGCCTGAAAAGAGCTGAGCTGGTGCTCCCTCTTACATCATCAGGACAAGATAAGGTGGCTGTAACAGATCTCCAGGCAATCACCTACAGCCTTGGATGCTCAGCTGTTACTTCAGCGGTGGTGCAGCATCACGGCTAAAACATTATCCCATAAAATGTTGTACCTTTGCTGGTAAATGTGACTGATATTAGCCTTGAGTACCTGTTGATGCTGAGTGGCCCAAATAAATTGTACAATAAATCAGTTGTGTAAACTCCCTGAAAAAGGAAAAAAAATGTCAACCCGATAATCTGGTGTCTTTAGGATCAGCAGGGCTCACTCCTGTCAGGCTGTGAGGCATGACACAGTGTAACCTCAGGTCCAAAGAATAAGTCTGCCCTGCTTCCTCCTTCACATTCTCTTTTGCTTACTCTCTTCTAAAAGACCTGCTGAGGTCAGTCAGACAGTGAGCATCAATCCCACCTTTGTACTCGAAAGCACAAAGCACCTGACGCACTTTGGTCAAAGTGATAGAGATAAAGAGAATAAGCCGGAGAGAAGAGGGACTTGGCGAGAAAGCAAATGGACAGTTGAACCAGTCCATCACTTGTTTATCAGCTCCCTCTCAATAAGTCCTGTCTCTAATTTAGTTGCAGCAGCTTTGAGCTAAAACACTCTCAGGGGCAAACAGAATGGGAGACTGTGTCAAGTTTATGAGACACTGGAGCCTTTTACTCTTTAACTTTGGACCACTTTGCCTACCTGCAACCTTCTGTTCTGTCTTTGATTTAGCTGATCAGGTTTAATCTCCCGAGTCCCCAAAAACAGCTTAAGACCCCTTTACAGAAAACACTTACTCTTCCTAAAGAATGGAGGAGGCAAGAAGGCAGCAGTGTTCCGTTACACCTCTTGAATAACAGCTTGCTCCATCCTTTGCCCTAACTTAAGACGACACTTAATGACTGTCAAGGTGCTTCTCTCTCCCAGTCCTCATTTTAACAGCAAAGTATTTTAGGTGGAAAGGCAGGACATGTTCAAATAACTCTGCACTTTAGTGTTTTGAGGGCAAAAGCTCAAGACCATCTATTTCTAAGAGGCACCATGGCAATTTTAGCCAAAGTTGTGGTGAAGCAATTAAACAAATGAAGGCTACACGTCTAAAATTCTTTCATCGTCACATAAAATGCAAAAATTTTCACTCACCCTCATCGCTGCAAAGGTAGGAGTAGAAGCCTTCTGACTTGAGCATGATGAGGAGCGATCCCCATCCCAGCAGCACAGCAGAGAAGAGCAGATTCTCAACAATGGCAGTCACTGCCATCCACCAGCGCCTGGCAAACGCTGTGGCCAGGGTTGGAGCCATGGTTGGGGGTTAGAAAAATTAAAGACAGAGAGAAGCAAAGAACCAGAGGAGAGAAGTTCACAGAGAGAAAGAAAAGAGCAAGTCGGAGATGCAGAGGGAGCCTCCCTGACTGACGCTCAGGATGAAGGATCACGGATCACTTATCTGTGAAGAGAAAAGTGCAAGAGGAAGGGGGAGGTTTTACAGTTAACCTATCACTGATGTCACTGTAGAACAGGAAGGTTCAGTTTTTATAAGATCACAAGATAAATCACTTCACTCTTAACCTAGTTGAAGATACTCAGCTGCACTGTGTGAAATAAAGTGAGCCTGTTATATCTGTGAATGCATGTACCGTTCCATGCAACGCTTTTTGACTAATCAAAAGTCTCAATTATAATTAGACACACAGCAGAGGTTTATTACCAACTAAACCAACTAATACTTAGCAAGGGTGGTGAATTATTAACTTTTTCCGCATTTCTGTGTTACATAATGCTGTCGTTGGGACAAAGACATTACATCACATTATAGGCAATAACAGAAGAAGCATCCCTGGTGCCATCACACAGTTTCTGCTGTTTGCTGGAAAAAAAGCAAACTGGTCCAAACTGGACTCAGAGAGAAAAGGGGGCTCTCGCCCATGGCCCCACTTTCTTCCTCTCTCTCCTACGCAACCCCTAAATGTCCTCTCATGCCCATCCAACCGCAGCTTTTCTCTGCAATTACTGTGATGCACCAAAATATAAAGGAGCTGCCAGACAAACAATAAACAAATTAGCTCACACAGCCATCCCTTCTTTCTCTCTCTCTCACATACACACACCCACACAAAATCTGTGCAACCAGTCAAATAAAAGAAGAGCTAGCCTTAGATCTCAGGGGAAATGTAGAAATCAACTGAACACATTCTAAACATGAAAGAGTCCGTTTCTGTCTCATTTGATTAAAGGTGCAACTTTTGCCTGTGAGTCATTCAGTTTCCTACATTTCAAAGCAGACTTCAGGTGTGTAAACTTTCTTACCTCTGCAGGCTGTGAGCAGCACCCTCCAGCCTCTCACATTTAGATGTCTTCTGGTTAGGTTCCAAGTGACCACTTATCTGTGAAACCCAACATTTATATACTGAGGCGGGCCTCACATGGCGCCCCCTACTGACCTTTGAATGCCTGACGTCTGGCACTCCGGGCCAACCCTCGTTTTTACGCACAGACGTATCGCCAGGATAATTCTGCAACAGTAATGTTTAGCTGCTTCAATACAGCTGTGCGCTCGTAACTGAAATGATGAGATTATTTTTAAAATCTGTATGACAATGGCGTACTCGTCTGCACGAGGAAGTCAGAAAGCACTTAACTGGGTGATTGGAAAGGATTAATCAAGCCAAACAAAGTCTGATTGAAAACATAATAGACTTCTGCAGATACTGACGGCGGTCGTCAACATTTGTCTGCGTCAATAGCAGGTATTGACAGAGCAGAAGAGCAGACTGCCCTGGTTCAGCTGTTACGTCACCTGTTTACTGTGATATATGCTTTGTTTACCGCTTGCGTCTTTACGCACAGACTCGATTGATGCGGAGTCCACCAAGACAGAGTCGCGTGTAATTTCGCGAATTGGGTCATTTCTGTTTACTAATGTGACACACTGTTATTATTTTTAACATGCTACAATCCTTTTCTCAACATCTTACACAAGCTCAGTCCTTAATGCTACACTGGCATGACTCCAGGTTTGCATGATCAATAACGCGCCTGCTGACTGCTTTAACCTCTTCGATGTCCTGAATGCAGCCAAAACAATCAATGTGATACCTCAACTGGTTTAAGTTCAGTTTAAGCCACTTAGGAGTTTTCTTTTACCACAACCAAATTCAAACTTTTTAAAGCTTAAACCAAATGTGATAAAACAAATAAATATTTTTTAAAAAGCACATAGGTAAACTGTTGGAACTTGTTTTCCTTGTTGGACTGTGGGTCAACTAATCAATGGCAATCAATGAGTGAGTGACGAACAGTGCAGCTATCGAAACAAACACTGATATGGTAATTGCGTTGTTGCTGTGATCAATTATTTCAGATTAACCGTGAAAAACACCCTCTTGATCTAAGTGTTCTCCAAAGCCATTTACGCATGCTGATCGGTCATCTGATCAATCAGCCAACTGAGTATCAGTCATCAGCCATCACACTGTTGGAGATACCACACATGCCTGTATCAATCTCGATAAAATAGGTACTTAAGCAAACGCAATTAACCACCAGTACATTGTTTATTTTTCTAAAAAAAAAAAATAAAGCATTTATTTCTCTACCTCTCTGTATGTAGGATACATCTGTCAAACTTTTTAATGCTCTTTATTTTGTTATAGCACCCACGGTGAGCTAAAATATGTGGCTACCTCTTGTAAAAGCAACTACAAAGTTAAGCAGTGCTTCAGGTTCTGCTGAGGTTCATTACTAACCTGTTCTCTTGGCAACTGGCTGTTTCCAAATTGACTTAACGCCACCTTGTGGAACTGTGTGATGTTCGCATGAAACATTTTACAGTTAACAATTACCACTCAGGCACAAACACTAGAACATAGTTCAAATAAATGTCTTTATTGCACATTCCTTACTGAAGGCAAATATTTGGTGCAGCAGTGCTGTGAAAAAATAACAGCTCATCTAAAAAGACTGAACACAGTGCAACACACCAGAAAACATGAGGTAAAATATAAAATGTTTTTTTTGGGAAATAAAATAGTCTTTAACATTATACATAATTATACAGCGGCTGACAGAGTTTTACTGGCCTGATCATCACTTGATATTTACATATATGACCTCCAGCAAACAAATACCCAACAGTGATTTTGCCCCCGAATAATTATTTCTAAGTGCATCAATGACCACTGTGGGGGTTACAAAATCTACTATCAAAGACCTTCGTCAGTGCAGTTGACGGACAGCCAGTAAACCGACTGTCAGTAGTGAGAGCAGCAGCGTCTTTATGGAGCCTTCCATTCCTGCTGCTGCAGAAAGTGAAAAAGGAAGTCAGAAAGAGTGTTAAAGTCGAACACAAAAATCTCTTATCCTTGCCTATATGGGCCACTGCAGGTCACAATTTACATTTTCCCAAAACACTTATTTTTGTCAAATCCAGTCTTTAAAACTGGCAATGCATTAAACTTCCCATTAAATTGAATTCCTATCAACATTTATCTAGTCAAGAACACAATCTGCCGCACTACATTACTACTACTAAGTGGGTCCCAGGGGGAGCTGACCCACATTATATTTCTTTTTTCCCTATACCAAATACTATCTAAGAAAAGACAGATAACATTTAAAAAAAAACACATTCCAAATGCATTACACAACAGTGCAGGGAAAATAGCTGCTGTCCTACTTTTGACCTGTGTTGCGTTAGACAAGCAAAATGAGCGGTATGCTCCGGCTTCAGCCAGACCAAAAGGAAACATCCACGTTGTTCGAGGGACATTTCCGTGTTTATAGATGTTATAGTCTGTTTACTGCAATCCATTCACTGTGTTTTGTCTGTTATCCTAAACATCAATTGGTTTCTACTAATTCCCTTACTATATTGTGAAAAAGCCCTCTTTTAAAATATGCTTGAGTTGTGAAATAATCATCTAATCGAAGACAATCAATGTACTAATGCACTGAAGATTGACGTTTCAGATTAATTGGCACAATACTGATTTTAATCCTGATTATGTGGTGTTAGGTGTTGGAATAATTGGCACACATTAAGAAAACAGATCTTACCAGTTGAGGCTTTATCTGGAATGAAAAAAAGAAAAAAAAATGAGATGTTAGACAAAACTTACTCAGCAGATTTTCCAACCTGTGTGCATACTCAGAATATGACTGCACATGTCACTTTACACATACACACCTTTGATTGTAAAAGTGGTTTCCATGCCAGCATGGATGTGATCAGTTACATGACAGTGGAGCAGCCATGTCCCCGGGTTTCCGGCCACCATCTCCACAGTCTGGAAAGTCCCAGGGAACAAATCGAAGACATCTGCGCGGTGTATGCGGTCCGTCTGACATACACACACATGACATACACAAACAAAGGGGAGCAAAGAAGAGGAAATAGGTAAAAAAAAAAAAACAGAACTGAGAAACATCTTATGAGAGCAACAAAAAGGTTTCAGGCCAAGAAGGACCACGAGCGAACCTTGTAGGTAAAAGTCTCAGCGTGGAAGTGAACAGTGTGCATGTCCACTTCGTTGCCCATGCCCAGTAGATACCAGTCAACTTTTTGGCCCTGCATCATCACCAGTCCATGCAGGTTACCATACAGTTTACCATTGATCCCTGCAAGAGACACATTCACACAGAATCAGACAAAGAGTGCCCATGCAAGTGCAATAGGTTCATTGAAACACTCATCGAAGGCAACTTGTGCGATAAGTGATTCTTTCTTGACCCAGTATATTCATTCCTGTGTGCTGAGGAGCAGTGCTGTGTTCTGCTGGCCCAACTTCAGCTGATGCATGCAAGCTTTTGTGGAGGGTTCAGAGTTTGTTTTACATAGTTGTGGCATATGTTTCATTCATTTTATTACATCTTATATATTTTAGATTTGGTATTTGTGGTTTCTATATCTCACCCGACTGTATTAAAAATGTCTCAAGTCCAAAATTATCTGTACTTTTATTGATAATTCTATAGTTTTTAGAATTTTCTCACAAATAAACATACATTTTGACTCAAATTCTTTCCTGTGTAAAAGCTTTTAGCTCTCTGTGCCTTCGTATTCTTCATTATCTTCTCACCGTGCATCATGTTACTCTCCTCAAAGTCTTCATCCCCTGTGTAGGTTTCCGGGTCGACACCGAGGTATTTTCTAATGTTGTCCTTCAAGTACCAGGACTGGTTTTCATCATGCACCATAAAGAGCAGAGCAAACTCCTTCTCCACGTCACTCCTCTGTCTGTCGGCTCCCTCGCCGCGCTTCAGAGTCCCGGGCCTGCATACCACCAGAGGCCCCAGAAGACCACTGTACAGATCCTGAACATAAACAAATGAGGCCGCTCTGTCACAAACAGCTAATGTTTCAGCTGCTCTTTAAACACACAGGTTACACTATCAGTGACCGTCACTGCATGCAGGGAAAGTGTACCTTAATGAAATCAACACTGGAGTAGTAGGCATAAGAGATGCAGTTAGGATCTGTGATCCCTGGACCAGAGCTTTGAGGAACATCCCAGTTCACCTCCAAAATTATGCCTGATGGCAGGAGAACATAAAGCAAACAAGTATTAATCCCAATACTTTGAAGTAAAGGCCAGAGTTTTGTAGTTTGATCCTTAGATAAGACCAGAAACAGCCAACATTTTATTTACTTGACTGTGCTCCTCACCAGGTTCGACAGGAATGTGTGCGCCACTGGCCTTAACTCCATGTGCGCCAATCGAGTATGGTCGGCTGGCGCTGTTCTTAAACGTGATCACGATCTGCTCTCCTACCTCTGCCTTTATTATTGGACCTACAAGATAAAAGAAATTTTGTGTCATCCTCATTCTTTTTTGGGAAAAATGACATAAAGAGCAGCTAAACTTACCCATAATTCCCAGGTGTTGCTGGTTTGGGTGCCGTTTCTTCTGAACTGTGAAGGTGTCATCAGTGTATTCTCTGTACACCACCTTCTTATAACGCGAGCCAATTCTGTCCTTCTCTTGTTTCACAAACATGTTGCCTGGACTGGGAGACATGTACCAATTTGCTTCCATTAACAAACAGTAATAAGTTATGCCACTAATCACAGACTCCAACACTGAAATACATCATCCCACAATTATCTTGCTTACACACCTGTCCTTTAATGTGCCGTGGTGTTTCTCCAGCTCCCAGTCTCTCTCAGGTGAGTAGTCCCACTCTATTTCCTCAGCACAGATAAAATATTGTACAATGTTGGTTGGCTCTGTGTCTGTGTGCTTCACTTTTTTCCCTGGGCACTGGTTCACTTTGTAACGCTGCCTCATGCCAGCCGAGTAGTGGTCTGTTACTCTGCAGCTCACCTCAAACAAACCTGCCAGAAGGATGAAACAAGGTTGGGGATTTGGACACATGAATGAATATTTTTTGGCTTTGGTGCGAACATTTGCAGCTGAAACACACACTGTTGAAAAAAAACATCTTGGCATTAGCTCTCTGAAAACAATTTAGTGGCTTATTTGGGAGAGACGGATGCTCATTTTCTATTTTTAATACACATATAAAGTGTATTGAAGGAAATCTCCCAGACCAATGTGATTATGAGCTGTTAGTGGTGACATTGTAAAGAAACTGTGTTTTGTGTTAGGCAAGTATTCTGAACATCTCTTTATTTCTATGCACATTTTCCAACTCTAAACCATGAAAACTCTACTGCCTATTGGACATGCGTCATGAGGAGGGGTGCGGCCTAAAGAGATTCACATCTTATATTATCCATCCATCCATTATCTATACACCGCTTAATCCTCACGAGGGTCGCGGGGGGGCTGGAGTCTATCCCAGCCGACTTAGGGCGAAGGCAGGGGACACCCTGGACAGGTTAGTATAAACATATTAGTCATAAACTACATCTGTGGTGTACACCTTTCTTGCAAAGCTAAACTGATTTGACCTGCATTGCTGCTTCGTGGCTAGAAAATACTTTTTTTTTTTTTTTTTGCAATAACATGTTGGCAAGGAGCTGTAAATGTCTGTATGTTAGGTTAGTTTGAAACATGTAGACTTCAAATTATAATGCTATTGTTTTATTCTACAAATTTAGAGCATGTTTTGTGCTGTCTGAGCCTTAAATTACACTCTTTACTACTTCCCTTTAATGACTGAACTTTACTCTGAACTGTAAAATATTTGCTTATTCAGAGATTCGGGAATTTCCACTAAAGCACGTGTAGATAAACATTTTTTTTTTTAAAGTTAACTTGCTGACTGAAACAATTCTAAGGAAACAAATACAAAACAAAAAAACAAAAACAAAAAACTATTTTCACAGATGTTTGAAGGGGATTTGTAAAGATTAACATTCACTATAGCTTACTACTTTTCCTTTGTTGATCTTTGGACTTAAGGAAATTCATACTCAACTGTTTTATTGCAGAGATAACAATCCAGTATTCTAATGACACATGCACCTCTTGTATCTGTATTTGTATTTGAGAATGTGAGAGCACTAATCATTAAGATAAAAAAATTAAAGAATGTCAATACCACATTCTTTGTTATATTGAACTGTATTTACAATATTTTCTCTTGATACCTGACAATGATTCAACAAGCCTGCCTGTAAAAACTCATGTTAGGGATTTTGCGAAACAACATCTCTATACCTAAATACATCAAACTAAAAAAAACAACAACAACAAAAAAAGGGGATGGCCTGTTGACATAGTCTGTTTTTTTCTAATTAACCACTTAATTGTATAGTTTGTCTTTTAATGGGTAAGAATGGAGGCATCAGACATACAGTATATCATTATAAAGTAAATACTCTAAATATACTACAGGTAGTTTTGACATTTCCCTCTTTGTATTGTGTTGAGAGTTGTGTATACGTCACAGGATACAAGATAATCTAAGCATGTTTGTGAAAGCTAAACGTGCCTGTCAAACAAAACCTAAAACAATGTGACTATGACAATGTGTGTGAGAGAAAACTCTCTGGTTTCTGAGTGGAGGCACCATTTGTTTGTGAGTGTGTGTATTAAAAGAGCAATAGAACTAACCGGGAGTGTTTGGCTGCATGGCGACGTTGGCAGTGGTGTGAGGAAACATGTTGACGGTGTCACGTGTTGTGCTCTGTTTCTTGAAGGTGTTCCCCTCGAAATAAACACCATGGATGTCCACCTCTGTACCTAGTCCAAAAGTGTACCACCTAACTCTGTCCCCGGCACACATCTCCAGTCCGAGAAGGTTCCCATACATGAGTCCGTTTACAGCTGAAGTGAAAGGTAAGGTGTAATCAGAAAAATACACACACAAGTGAAGAAATGGCACAGAAGCACCAGCATTATTTTGCAAAATATGACACTAATGGTATATGAGCTACTGTCATTATCAATCAAATGGCATTCAAACTAAGTAAAAATACACATCCTCCACCAGACACACTGATTACCATGCATCATATTGCTCTCCTCAAAGTCCTCGTCTTCTGGATTTGTCTGATTGCTGCCAAACTTGTCAATATTCTCGTCCAAATACCAGCTCATGTTTTCATCCATGACAGAAAATAGGAGGAAGAACTCCTTATCCACACCCTTCTGTTAAACAATACACACACACACACAAGCCAGGAAACAGTAAGGCGAGGGGGTTGGGTTGCAGATTGTGGGTGCAGTTAACAGCACACAAACAATCAGTGCCATATTTTAATAGTCATGTAACGTGGGGGGAAAAAAACATATATTCACTGGTTAAATTTCCCTAAATGGGAGAATTTTCATTCAATGTGCGTGTGAACAGGTAGTAAAACAGCACCTCTGTTCCTCTTGCTCCCAGCACTCCTTTCTTGCACACGAGCAGAGGTCCAACCAATCCAGAGTTAGTGTCCCTGGCAGGATCGGCGCCAGAGTAGTACAGGTAGGGAATACAGGGAGAGTCGGATGAAGACGGGCCTTCCAGCACCTGCCAGGTGTAGGTGAAGTTCTCACCTGGACCGACGTGGGAGCCTGGCTTGTTAACACCTACAATAAAAGAACTAAAATAATTATGTGTGCTATAATTCAGCGCCTGCAGAGACAACACTTGAAGGAATTGTCTCATCACTTTGCTTAGCGCCTAGAAACATTAGTAACGGTATCATTCTAACAATGCATATTTGTAGCACGATTGACGTAATGAGACAACTGATCTTAGAAATAGACTTTTGCGGTTAAAATATACACCCAAAAACCTGGGGATGTCTGTCTTCTTTCACATTCTAGTTCATGCACAACTGTTTTTTATTTGATTACGATGACTACGTGTTACCATTTTTTAAATTTCTGCATATATTTTCACCTTAACTTGTCAGCAAGAATTCTTCCATAAAAGAAAATTCTGTGGCCAATTAGCTTTGATCTGGTCAATATCAGAAGCATAAAGAATGAAATATTCTTTAGTCTTGAAGCAATAATCATACAAATGTATGCCTGGGCCAATCTTAGTCTGACAGATGATGAATGAATCCTTTCCCCTTACACTTAAAAGACAATCATGGGTGCTTTTTTCTTGACTGTGCAGCTAGAATCAGGGGCAATGCAACAGGCTGCTTCCTCACCATCCTCATAGCTGCTTCCCTCGAAGCGCTTGTCATAGTGAAGGCCGTGAGGCTGGATGCTGTAGTGTCTATCAGCCTTATTCATGAACGTAACCCTGAGAGTGTCTCCCTCCTCTGCCCTCAGAACTGGACCTGGACAAAAGCAGAAGAATATTGTAACTAAACCGTAGGTGTAGAAACAACAATGGTGAAACACACAAGCATATACCAGTAAACAAACTACAAAAGAGGGCATCTGATTTTTTTCAGATGTGAAACTTGATGAAAAAGAGAGGCCTTACCCAGGATTCCTAGATGTCCAGGATCAGGTGATTTTAGAGTGGTGAAGGTATTGTCTGTGTACTCTTTGTATATCACTTTCAGGTAGCGACCTCCAATCCTTCCACCATCCCTTCCAAAAAACATCTCTGATGCACTGCAAGAGGATGGGGTGGGATAGTGGGAGGAAGGAAACACAAACTGTGTCAGCGAGGAGGACAGGGAAGAGGTTTGTGTGACCTAAATGAAGAAGCAGTCTGTAATGTCATACTTCAGAGAATATAAACAGAACAAGCGACAGCCAGTCAGAGAGGCTTCACCGAGCCAGGTCAGAGAACAACAACAACCAAGTCACTGCAACATTATCCACATTGTTTATTCTAGACACAACAAACCCGACCTCACCGCAGGACTGGCCAGCTCACGTATAATCTGCCACACAAACAGAAGGCCGGCCTTAGACAGAAAGGAAGACTGATAGCGAAGAGACCACCAGACGAAACTGTACATGGCTCAGGACTATGTAGAGGTTCCACAGTGTGTTTCTTTTTGTTTTGTTTTGTTTTGTTTTTTTATTATTAAGTTTTGTGGTCATTATAAACTTGGATGTGTAAAGTAAAAACTGTTTTGACATGAAGGTGTTTACTTCTGTCATTTCTCAAGCCTCCTCATAACTAGATATCCTCCCAGCCTTGCAAGCCAGTAAGAATTTTACTGAGCTTCTGTGTACCAGATAATGAACCAATAGTCGTCTAGGTCAAACTTTTCAAAATCCTGTCCCCTCACTGCCCACTGCTTGGAAGGTGAGTCGTTCAGGATGAGCAGCTGGCTTTCAGTCCTCCAGGTTTATTTACTTTGTGGAGCTGCTTCTGCTAACTCTAAAATGTCTCAGCCATGAGTAAAGCACACCAAATGTTCTGTTGTTGACTGCAAGAGCCTTAATGCACTCCCAGCATCTGCAGACTCAATGGATTACTTTTATTATTGATGGCAATGTCCAAACATCAATAGGAAATTCCTTTGTGTTAACACTGTGTGCAGCTATTGTGGCTAATTTTACCGTCAGCTTTGGCTAACGTTACTATTACCGTTGATCGTATGCCCAATAATCAGAACTCTGTGGAAATTGTAATGGGACATTCAGAGATGGTAGAAACTATCTACTAATAAACAAGGCCTGAGTGGGTTACTGTCATTTTATTTTGCCTGTTATACATCAACTTCAGCTGCGTTTTCTATCTTCTCTCCTGCTCTCTGTGCTCACATGTACTGCATTCAAATACAGCTAAAATCCCAATAAAGTAGTTCCCATTTACATATATTTTTTGTTTCTGTTGTCAGATAAGGGAGCAAGTATGAAATGCAGCCAAATCAGCAGCTCTGCAATGCGAAACAACTGATTTTATGACCACCATGACCATTGTCGTGCAAAAAAAACTGTTTGTGCTGTGAATTTGGCAATATGTCTGTGCAAAATGATCACTCAGAGAGAAAGTTAGAAGTGATCACAGACACACAATTGCATCTGTGTCCATTACTGTGCTGTGAATTGTTTTGTTCTATCCTGTTAATTGTAGACACCGATTTTTTTTCCCTGAAGGCAATGTGGGCAGAAGCAGCTGTTTTCAGTACTGATACTGAAACAGCACATTTAGAACAGGGCTAAAGCCAGGGGTTATACATTCATAGTAAAAATGAACCATCTTTGTAGTTTTTTGAGTTGAAAAATGAAAAGACACATTCTGAGGATATGTGGGCCTCTGATTAATTTACTGAGAAAGGGTACACGATGGGACCTTGAAGTAATTTGGGAAAAGCAGGTCACGTTGGGGTTTTTTTTAATAGAAACTCTGAAACAAGTTTTTAACTACACTGGGCTAAACAATGACTAGATCTTAATCTTGCAGTGACTCTCTGTTGCCATTGATTAAACTTTTCACTGATAATTTGATATCAACATGTCTGCCCACCTGTCAGCCTCAGTCAGGGGTACATTATTAATCAAATCCTTTTCTGAGGGAGCATAGCTCCACACGACCTTCTCTGCTGCCAGGTAGTAATTCCTCACAACACCGCCGCTTGCTGTGGAGCCGACCTCACCGTCACATGACTTCACTTCATAAAAGGCCTGCATCCCAGCTGGAACAGATGAAGACACACACACACATTACACACAACACAATTTACATTAGTAAGCGCTTGTGGTGAACGTGGAACTTCAGGTAAACCTGATGAGTCCAAAGGGTCAGATTTAATGGTTAAAAAAATATTCTTCCAGGGTTCAGCTTGCTTATCTTGTAGTAGCTGTGGGACAAGAGTTCATTTCCAGGATCTGAGAGAATCAGATCATGTAAAACTGTAAATGCTGTGATTTTTTAAAGTAAATATATCTGTAAAATAGAAATGTTACTTTTTCTGAAAGAGACAGGTTCAAGAATAGGGCATTACAAAAGGTATGTTGTTTGATACAAAGGAGTGGTACTTCATATGTGTCAGAATGATTCATAGCATGTTGAGCAAGTATGGCTGGTTCATTTATATGTTCAGTGGACTTTGGACAGCCTTAGAATACAAGTCCTGGCATTAAATATATATTGACAGGTAGAATAAAGGCATTTTAAATATGCACAAACCCTTCAATGTGCCATGAATTGCTTTGTAAGAGACTTGTATCAAAATCTTTTGTATTAAGACCATATTTCACCCATGAACAGAGGCTCTCAATAAAACGGAATAAACAGAGTCCATCTGAAGTAAGTGTGTGTGACCAGCACAATGACCCTGCAGCATCATCGTCTCCACAAGTCCTGGCATATTTCAAGTAGAAATCGATCAAGCAGAGCATGTATTTCTACTGCTATGCCAGGATATGCCAGGATTTGTGGAGACAATGGTGCTGCAGAGTCCTTGTTGTGGTAAAGTTTCCTAACTCCACAAAAATGCAATCTTCATTGTCAGTAAATCTGCACAGCCAGCAAAGTCTCAGAACCGAGAGGTCAAAGGTGACACAGAGGTTAAAGATCAGGTGTCCTACCCTGTAAGTGGTCATTAACCTGGCAGGTCAGCAGCCACTTCCCTCTTGCTTTTGGGATCATCTCAGCTGTCGCAAACGTGGCTGGGAACAGGCTGAGGGTGTCAGTGCGGTGGCCCCGGTCCAGCAGAGTATTCCCATGGAAAAAGGCAGTATGAATGTCTACCTCGTTACCCATGCCAAACAAATGCCAGGCTACCGGACGGTTTTGGCATAACTTGATCCCGGGCAGATTACCAAACATGTACCCATTAATAGCTGTCACACAGAGAAAAACACAGACAGGGGTACGATGAAAGGACAAAAAGAAGACATTTTGCCAGTAAACCTTGTTTTTATCAGTTGTTTATGGAATTACTTAACATTAAGTTTGATGTCAAGTAAATTAGTTGGGAAAACACTTAAAATAATTTTTATAATGTAGACAACTCTGTTGTATGTAGAGAGGAGGAAAAAAAGAAAATTGTGATAAGAATTATTAGATGTTGTCAAAGAAACAAATCAACATCTAATATTACAAACAAAAGATCTGTCATGTTCAAACAACTTTAGAAAGTCTCTCACCATGCATCAGGTTTGACTCTTCAAAGTCTGGGTCTTCTATGTCGATTCCAGCTGGATCAGAGCAGTTCTGAATGTTGTCCTTCAGGTACCAACTCAGGTTTTCATCCACCACATTGAACATCAAGAAGACATCCTGGTCCACATCGTTGCGGGCTGACTCGACAACAGACTCTGGCTTTGATGAAACTAGTTCATTAGTCTCCTTCAAGATTCCTGCACTCAGAGAGAAATTAAAAAGGCACATTTAATCTCTGTTTGCCTGTGCTTTACCAACATATTTGATTTTCCTGTGAAGCTTTCCTTGGCAAATTTTCAATGTAATCATTAAGAGCTTAAAGCTGGGGAGCGTTTTGCTTGTTTTTATTATTGGTTTAAATAAGCATAAACTATGATTAAGGGTTAATCACAGTTTAAGTCACAAAAGGCTTCAATATATTTGATTTGACTTGATCTGACAGGCACACAATGCATATATAGACACATTGCAGGAAACTTTTCCTCTGATGGGAGGCGAATGGCATATATTCACTTGTCTTTGCACCTTTCTTGCATGTGAGCAGGGCTCCAATAAGTCCTGAGGCGATGTCCTTGGGGGCGTCCAAATGAGAGTGGTAGACCCAGGTCAGGCAGTTGGCATCATCATCTGTGGGGGCAAATTCTGGTTTGACCTCCCAGCGGTAGGTGTAGCTTCCTCTAGGAGGAACAGAGTCATCCATCTTCAAACTCTTTGATGTCCCATCTGGATAGAGTGCGCCTGTTAGACAAATACACAGTGTTTACTCTGAGATCATTCGGTTTCCTCTTAAGTGTGGAGAGCAGTTGAGCCTGGTTGCTTTCACTTAAAGGCTGTGGAATGCTCACTACCATGTAGTAGGCACTCGTTTAGAATCATTTAGAAAGTATTATGTGTGAAATAAATTATTCCTCAACTGCAACAAAAAGGGTTAATAATCACATTCTTCAGAGGAGGTTCCCAAAATCAAGGTCATTTGTTTATATATGTGTCTTTTAAGTTTTCTGCCACTGTCTACCAATAAAAGCATAAATGACCTTTGTGACAAAGTCAGAAATGCACTTATCGTAACACCATCAACTTCCTTCCTGCCCAAGATGCTGCATATAAAAATGTATTGCTCAAAGTTGCATGGGTCTGATCTCTGAACTAGCAGTACAAAAGCCACACTCTGTTTCGAGAAGAGAAAAAAAAGCACATTTTAGTTTCGGTTTCAGTTCCCGCGAGACTCTCAAATTTCCTTCGACAGGATGCATCCACTGCATGAGTGGAGGGGAGTGATCTGGTCTTGCATAACAGAGAGCAGCAAAGTTCAGGACACTAAGGAGACGTATTTTACAGGATTTCTTCTGTAACAGCCACTCGCTTCCTGAAGCTGTGAGGTGTCACTTTTTGCATTGTTCCATAGGCCTAAACTGACTCATTCTGTCTAGATTATGTTTGTTTGTCCATCTTCATTTTCAACCTGTCATTATCTTGTTATCAGAGACAGCCTGGCACAGAATAATATAAATAATAATATACTGCTGCTATCATAATGATATATTTATGCTTTGGAAAATAACTATTTTCCCTGGAGAAATACGCTATGGCCTGAATAAAATGCTCTCTTAAAGGAAGTGTTTAGCAGAACAGCTTCACTTGTTCTCTGTTGAACTGGATTTTTATGAACCTTTTCTAAATGTTATGTTGTTGTTTGGACCATAAAAGCTGGGCAGAAAATCCACTGGGCATGTAATCATTCATGATATATATATAAATTATTTCTACATATGTGCAGCTGACTTTTCAATCTGAGTGATTATAGAACACATTTATAAACGTCATTTTAGAAGAAACCCTGACTGACACCTCTTTGATCGTGCATGTTTCTCTTTGTGTGTAAATGCAGCATGCCTTATTCCCTGTCCACATACAGTATGATCATCATGGGACACTTTACCCTCTGCATTCTTCTCGTAGAAAACCCCATGGGGATGCATCGAGTAGTTCCTCGTCGCAAAGTTCTTCAGATGGACCACGATAACGTCGTCAACCTCAGCTCGCAGTATGGGTCCCAGAAAACCCAGCCAATCAGGTCGAGGAGCCAGGCGACTGTAGGTAGCATCTGTATACTGCCGGAACATCGCCTTCTTGTAACGACTGCCAACACGGTGGGGCCCTCTCTCCAGGAATACAGATGCATGCCTGAGATTGTATTGGATAGGAGACAAGGAGAATGAGATACAGACAGCGCAGTGGTTACACAGAAGAAAGAGGCAGCCTTTAATCCTGTTGTGGCATTTCTGAAGGTTAAAGTCAGATTATTATCAGCTTCTACAACACAGGATTGCAATGACATGTGGTCGTGCAAATATGGCAAAAAGCGTGATGACATTGTCTAAAGATTTCTCCCATAGCTCAGACTTATCTTTGAGATGATATTACTTGATTACTGTCTAACAGGGAAAATTTCTTTTTAGCGCGTATGTGGACTGGGTCATAAATCCCCACAACTGTACATGTAATGCTGCAGAACAAATTGCATCTTTATAAGAATTAGACATATCATTATTATGATAACATGTCTCTGAAGGCTAATAACCTGTTACTGGAACTGTAAGAGAGGGAGGACAAAAAGCACCTTTAATAATTTACAAATGTGTTGCACTGACAACCTCGCTGACATTCTGATGACAGTGGATTTACTGAGCACCTGTTAAAAGCAATAAAAGGCTACTGTGCTTCCGCCACTGGTTATGTGGATTTAACATACCACCACTTTTTTTATGATGGGCTACACATGACACCGGAAGAAGCATAATTTGTAGAAATCTGCCTGTGAATACAATAATCAGTAAAACGGAAAGAAAAAGACGAAATGATACGTGAAGGACATAAACATTACTTTATAGTGTCTGCTGAAACAGCTTGTTTTGAGTAAAACCAGTCTTGGAAGAGCTGACCAAGTAAGTCAGGAAAGTCCAGCATTGCGCATGATTGCGACATCTCTGTTACGCCTCAAGGTTTTTTGACTCTTACAAGAAAGAGATAAATGGTGGCACAATCAGTCCCACCATCTTTGGAAAATGTACATAACTACATTCATCATGTATCGATGTATGACGATGGGCTTTTTTTTTTTTTTTAACTTGGGGTCTTCTTTAATAGAAAGTTAATTTATCTGCATGTAGCGTGTCCCAGGTTGTGTGTGATTTTCTGACTTTAAATCACCATGACCACACAGAAACACAGATAAGTTATCAGGCCGTTAATTAGTGATAATAATTCACCCCTGACAAGTTATCAGAGCAGTGACCCTGTAATATATATATGATAGCAATTGTAGGTCAGGTTACCAGTATTATTTTGTATCTAAACAGCCAAAACTTAACTGCAAAACACAGTCACACAGTCCTTAGAAATTCCAGACTTGATTATTCTCACATATTTTTGGAGCACAGCAACTTCATATTTGGGTAACATCCCAGAATTGCTGGTGTGATGCAAATAGATTATTCTCTCATTTCTAGACTGTCTGTTTCCTGTTATATTTTGCTCAGAGAAACACACAGTAAAGTAAACCTCTGATCTCATGAGAGAGAGTCACTGTCATCTTCCCTGTGCATCTACTGCCAGCAAAGCACACAACAAGCCCTCCTGAGGTTTAGACACCGTCACACCCCAACAAGATAACACACAACTTTTTACCCTTTTCTATTCTCTACACTCTTCTTTTAATAGCTCTTCTTTAATCACAGTTCCTCCACTTTAGATCGATCAGAGTGGATTCGATGTGATCAGATAAACAGCTGATGGCATGAAGCGACCTCGACTAATCTCAACACACATTTTCCAACTAACAACTCACTCATCGTTTTCGACGTCTTTGCCGTTAAGCAGGTTTTTTCCACTTGGTGCGTAATCCCAGAAGTCCTCAATGATCCCCACGTAGTAAACTCTCTCCCTGCTGCGTTTCTCTTCCGCGGCGGAGGAGGAGAGGAAAAGTAACCAACAGCTCGCAAACAGCCACGAAATCCGTGCCATGTTTAGATGATCTCCTTGTCAAGCGCAGGACGCGAGTATTTGGCGCGTTTTGGATCAAGAGGAACAAGTGGTAACACCCCCCGACTCTTCCATGAAAGTAGGTTCGTGCGTCGGGGCTGCAGCACTTATGAAACTCTGCAAAGGAAAACAGTTAGTCTATTCAGCCAGAGGCCAACGACGGTGTGACCGCCTCCAGTGGTATCGGATGTGCGCGGATAACCACTCCGTGCTCTCGAGTTAATTATTGTTTGATGTAATTGAAATTTCCATGCTGGGAAATTAAGGTAATTGATCTGCTTATTGTAAAGAGCAAAGTCAGGCAGCATGGGTCTACTTAATTTGGCTTTCAACTTTCCACAGGTGATGAATAAGCACCTGAGTAGGTCTCTGTGCGCAAGTTTGATTTAGAGATACCATGTGTTGTTTAATTTGAAGGCTTAACATCAGTAGATTTCCGCACATTGCAGAAGTAACTGCACTAAATCCCTGCACCAATTTCTGTCTGGGGTTCTAACGAAGTTGCAACCTCTAGTTTATATCTGATTTAATGGTTTTAGACCATCTATTAATAAGAAAAACTTGGATGGTAAAACACTTCGTCATAATTAAAAGGATATTCATGTTGGCAATGCAATAATAAATAGATAGTTGTAGGTTTAAAACTCTTTGACAAGCCAACCTGGCAACCAAGGTACACTACCTGGCAACCCAAAAGTTGTTGATGACTTAAAATGAAAATGAAAGTAACGGATTTAAACAAGGGCACCACAAACTCCACCTAAACTTAACCGACACAGCCCTGCACTAAATTGTAATTGGAGAAGCCAGGCTTTTAATAGTTAAAACTAATTATTTGGTTTTGCACAGTTTTTCCATTTTGTCTTCTATGTCTATGGGTTTCTTAGTAAAAAAAATTGTAGCAGCAGCAACAAAGTAATCCAGAGGTTCATTCACTGAAAACCACTGCAACTCCAAATCTTGAACCCTGAATCTGTAAAATGACATACATGTTAATATTTTCATTCCATCAACATTGCTTTCTGATTCATTGTCATCTACCAACTTCATGTATATAAAGTGTCAGTAACTTTGTATCTAATAATAACTGTATTTATTCCTGTATCATCAGATTTTCCACAATTTGCACAAAACCTTCAGTTAATTTTCAAACATGCTCTTTTACACATATCTATACCTGCACACAGGAGTTAAACACGTATTTTCCTGTCCTTAACCTGTTGCCCTTGAATAAATGCATGAGTTTATTGTGTGAGTACTTTTAGAACAAAGAAAAAAAATCCAAATTCTTGTCACATGCTCAGCCCATATAGCTGACTCTTTCATGGGAAGTATCTTAGTGACACCGTCAGCACATCAAAATATGTACGCAGCAACACTGTACAACCACTGCACTTCATCACGTGAAAAATTTTAAAGCCAGCTCATGATGAGGCGCATTCCCCTTGACCCAGTAGCTACAACCCAGCATCTTTCAGCCTGAAGCTGTGAGTCATGTTTTACATCCACTAGCTGAGGCTGACACCTGCTGACCAAGTCTGAGCAGCACAGCCAGTGTGGCCTTGGTGAACTGATGACTTTGAACCCACAGTGCAAATGTAGGACACTGATAATACACAAGCAACCATATTCTAGTCATCGTGGGGACTTCCTGTTCATTTTGCTTAATGAGTTTACTCTTGAGCTTTCTATAATGCCCTCAAGTCAATCTGTACAATCTACACTGGAAACATACTTGTGATTAAGTGTAAAAACAAGTACATTAGGTGTAAAGGTTGTACCAGGCTATATTGGGTCCTTAAAGAAGCAAAGCTGCTGCTACCCAGTCGTCATGTTCTGTTATGTGCTTGTGGGTCACCATGGGGCCAAGTCCTTGAGCTCAGGAGTTGACTGTTATCTTTTGTCTAAATAGAAGATACATTGTGCCCTCTGAAATCCAAGCTCATTGCAGGAACACACTGTTCCACAAGAGTACTTGAATTTTAATTTATTCTCAGTCAGGCCCCATGCTGACTGAGTGCTTAAGTATGAGATGGACACCTCTGGAAATGCAACTTGATGCCCGCTAGGTGATTTCTCTATAACTTTCTGTAAACAGGAGAGTAACAATTTGAAGCTCCACCGAATCTGACGGATCTCTGTGCTATTCTCAAGCTGGTTTTAGCTGTGTAATGTTTGTATTTGCTGCAAGGTGGCGCAGTTGGTAGCACTGTTGCCTGCAAGAAGTTTGCAGGTTCGCGTCCTGGTGGGGGCACCGGGATCTTTCTGCGTGTAGTTTGCATGTTCTCCCCGTGCAGTGTGGGTTCTCTCCGGGTTCTCCAGCTTCCTCCCACAAGGTCCAAAAACATGCTGAGGTTAATTGGTGATTCTAAATTGTCCGTAGATGTGAATGTGAGTGTGCTTGGTTGTCTGTCTCTAAGTGTAGCCCTGTGATAGACTGGTGACCTGTCCAGGGTGTCCCCTGCCTTCGCCCTAAGTCAGCTGGGATAGATTCCAGCCCCCCCGCGACCCTAGTGAGGATTAAGTGTTGAATAGATAATGGATGGATGGATGTTTGTATTCAAGTCCACTACCACCAAGTTTATGAAAGAAATGCTGGCAAAATTATTCTAGTATGTACATTCCTACAATGTACGTGCCTGGACCTGAGCACCAGGTGGACCTAGCACATTTTTCACAGTAATGTTATCAGTAAGTGTTAAACACTTATCTGAACTCAGATTTATACACTTATTTAAGATTGAGGACGATTTACATTTTAAGCCAAGTTCTAGTGAGCAACCGGTAAGTGACAAATGAACTTGTGATGTTTGTAGCAATAAAGCAAATAACAACCCCCTTACATCTTGCCACACTGTCTCTTTCGTAATGACCTTTGAAACTGATTTTCAGGAATGATGGCTTTTCCCCATCTCTCTCTCTCTCTTCATGTCACCTTTTGAGAACTGCTTGTTTAGAAAATGCAGGAAAAGCAAAGACATTTAAATCAGTGCTGATTCACACCAAATCACAGAAAAAGTACAATTTCAATGTGTCTCTTCTCTAAGCTGGTGGAAGTAAAAGAAAAGTTATTAGTGCATGAAGCAGATTCATGTTTTGTACGGCCCTCCCTACCCTCTGACATACCCTATAAAATGTGTAACTCTGCAAATGTCCTGGTTTGGCTTTCCTTCAAAGACTCACACTCTGTGTTGGTAAGCCCATACTAATGAACACCCCACTATAGCAAACTTCACATTCGGGCTATGGGTACATTTCTTTGACTATGAAGACTGTATGTAAATGCTAAAGTCAATAGTGGTTACTTAGTATATAGTTGCTGATCAATGACAAGATGTAAGAGAACAAATAACAAAACAGGGTTGAATGGGGAGTCTGATGACCCATGTAGTTGCTTATAAATGACAGGAGGTATGAGAACAAAAGGTGATTGAATGAAGCGATCGGATAGACAACAAATGGTAAGAGAATGACGGGTCTGGCACACAGTTACAAAAGGTAAGGGAATTATCAATAACAGTGGTAACAGAACAATGACTGACAATGATCTATTTGTTCAGTTATTTACAAATTTCACTCTATTCAATGTTCGTTTGTTACTTCATTTTTATTATTTTAGTATTATCATTACTGCTTTTATTAGATCCATCTATTTTACCCATCACCTGTCAATCTATCTGTATTTTAATAATGAATATTTTTTATTTCACTTGTATAAAGTAGCCCTGCTAGTTCAGTAAAGAAAGAAAAAAAAAGATCTTCTTTCACTACTGTTGATCTGATATTGATTGACTGTTATTGACCTGAGGGATGTCCCAATCCCGACAGCGCCGTGCACAGCTCTTTCTCGTGAACGCGCTCCAGTCAGTGACCGCGCACGGCAGCGCGTTGCCGCCTTCCTGCTGACAGACAGTGTCGGTGTGTGCAGACACAGACATGGCTGCTCTCAGTAAACTACCGCACAACTGCTACGAGATCGGTCACACTTGGAGCCCGTCGTGTGTGCACTCTGCTGCGGATGTAACCCGGAGTGCTCTGGAGGTGTCCTTCAAAATATACGCCCCTCTGTACCTGGTAAGAAGCCTGACAGTGCTGCTGCTCTGCCTGTGCACTCTGGAGCTAGCTAAAGTTAGCTAGCTACCCAAGTAGGGCTAACTAGTTCTGAGAAAGCGTCTAAAAATGAGCTTGCATGTCGCTAGCTGTGCACTTGGGGACAAAGTTCAAGTAATACACGTTGGCAAAAAGAGAAAAGGGCAAAAAACAGGCCATGGCCCGGTAGAGACACGGTGTGGCTCATGTCATTAGCCGGCTAATTAACTTTAGCAACCGAGAACACAGTCTGATAATTCATGCAAACGAGCTCCAAATTGTTTGACAGCTTAGCCTGAGCTATTTTTGATGCCCTTTGTTACAAGGGTAAAGTTTATTACAACAGAACAGCATTATTTTCTTGTTATTAACTCATGAAGTAATGATTTGGCGTCCAATCGTAATCACCTGATACACTGACTGCCACTCTAATGTGCATTGCAGATAGCAGCAGTTCTAAGGAGAAGGAAGAAGGATTACTACATAAAGAAGCTTCTCCCTGAGATCCTGTGGTCTACCTCGTTCCTCACTGCCAATGGAGGTCTCTACATTGTTTTCTTCTGCATTCTCAGGTTTGTAGGTCCACCATATGTCAAACACACATCTCTAATGTCATTTGACATTAACCCTCCTATTACCTTCAAATTTACTGACATCTTTTATTCTTCGGTCAATTTGACCCCAGCGATTTAAACCTCTAGAAAATTGTCATAATTAAAATTGTTACTCAAGTTTTTGTGTAAATAGCCCTTTAAATGAAACTTTAAAAATTTTGTCAATCACTTATTTAGAGGCGTTATGCATTGAATGGACCCCAAACATAATAGGAGGGTTAACATGAAAGAGTTTTCAGAAGCTAAGCTGAGGATCAGTGTAAATGTTTGTCATTGAAATTAAAAAAGTAAAGGTTTGTAAAGTAACACGGAATAACAAAATTCAAACTAGCCAAAATCCTCAGCACTCCATCAGTGTCTTTGGTAATTTGATATCATACTGTCTTTTGTTGACTGTTTTTCCTAAAGTTGTTTAACTTGCCTAAAGGTGCGCTGTTTAGTTTTCTTGTGAACAAGCAAAAGTTTGAGCTAAAGGTATGTTTACATTCAGTGTTGTTGGAATATTTAATTTTGTGAATGTTAGTTGGGAGGTTTTTCTTTACGGGGCGCCGATGCTGTGGATTGGATGGATCAGGTGCCAAGAGATATAGACATATCTGTGCACCAACAAAGGGAGAGCTAAGTTTAAACCACCAGCTCCTCCCCAACCAGATAGCCATTCGCGTTTCACTATTTAAATTCAGTGTCTGTGTTTAGTAGACAGTCACCGTCCACTATACTGAATTAGATGTTTGTGCTTACATGAGGCTGCATCCATTGCTGGGCAAGTTGGTTACAGACTAACAGCTTGCTGACTGTGATTTTCTGAATCAGTAATGGATCCTTGATCACGTAAAATATTATATTGCACAACAAATAACACTAAATGAGACAAGTAGTTTGTCTTCTGTCTCAAAAGAACGAATATGCCCCAACAGTATGCAGTCCTGTGTGAAGTCTAACTCTGTTGAGTTCTCTATAAATCAATCATTTGTAAAGCAGTTAAGACAAAAGTTCTCTAGCTGTACACCCTAACTAAGAGCGCTCTATATTTCTACTAAAGGCTTAAAAAACCCTCCACAGGACATCTGTAAGCTCGAAGAACTGCACATATATTATTAAAGAAATTCCGATGGACTGTCCTCAGACATTAAGCTTTGACCACAACTTTTCTTTCTTTAAAGAAAATATGTGCTGACAGTGTGTGTAAGAGCGCTACGTTCCAGCTAAATAGAATAACAGTGAAATAACAAAGTATATTTCTAACTTTAGGAAACTGTTGGGAGGTTTCTACTCTTGGTCCGCTGGGTTTGGCTCAGCACTGCCTGCCTCCTATATTGCTATCCTCCTGGAACGCAAGAGCAGGTGAGATAGCTGTTTTATTTCACTGTATTTTTCTTGCTCCCTCTAGTTTCAAACACATTTGGCAAGGTTCTTATTGAAAATGTACATGTCTCTTTCTTTCTCACCCCCACCAGGAGAGGGCTGCTGACAATATACATGGCAAATCTTGTAAGAGCTGCTCTGTTAATTTTGCATTTTAATTTTTTTTGCTGAATGTGAAACAATACACCTGCTTTTGATTCACACTGTAAATGTAATATGTACTCTTGTTGTCAGGCCACTGAGACTCTGTTCCGCATGGCAGTGACTCGAGGTATCGTCAAACCCATCAAACATGGCGAGGTAAGATCAAAGGGAGGTTTCAGTTCAAGGCAGGTCATACTTTTCGCGCATCTGCAAGTGTCTGTGTGGTTTCATTTTAATCACCTGCCTGAACCGACTGCAAGTGTCCTGAAACTGCATGTGCCAAGAAAACAAATGGTGTTTAAACAAATGATTGTTATCAGGATAGACTGTATAAGGAGCATTTTTGTCACCCACATTGTTTGACGTCATCGTTAAGAGTTGAAATTGAAGTAGTCACTGGCGGACTTTGGAAGTGCCTCGATGTGTACATGTTCTCTATTGACTGTATCCAAACAGTCTCCATAAATCTATGCCATGTCCACCATTGTGATCCGCTTAACATGGCACTACAGTTAAATCTGGAACGAACTGCTGTTTCTTTAAAAAAAGGGAAATGTCAGAGCTAACCTTTGAGAAACATCTATTGGAGCCATGTGTGTTTCTGTGTTTAATATGTGAGGTAATGAGCCTGACTGGACAGCAGACCGAAGCAAACCTGCTGTCATATGAATAGAAGCACGTGCGCGTCTGCTTTCAAAGTCCACATCAGTCTGGACTCAGGGATCCAGAAACCGTGAACTGGCCTTAAGCCAACCTACCAGATAAGCTGTTATCAAGGAGCTGTAATTCTTCATGAGCAGCTACAAAAAAATGCCTGAATCTACAGTGATACACTTTCAAATTTCAAAACATTCCTGAATGGACTTTTTTTAAACTTTTGTTTTCAGTGTAAGTAAAGTTTAGTATTGATAGCCACTCATGCTACATGGTCACCACAGCAAAGTCCAGTGGTAGAGGCTGGTTTGAGTCCAGAACAAACAAATCTCTGTTTATCAGGAAGTAGCCACTTCTGACTTTCATCAGAGATCTCCCCGCATTGTGTCATGGCTTTGAAATGGGTCTTATGACAAGATGACTGTTTGACTGATCCTGATTTCTATCCTCTCTTTATCTGCTTCCCATTAGGTGCTCTTGTTCAGCATAACCGCATCGCTCTATATGTTCTTCTTGAGGTCAGAGCAGCACACAGAACACATTGTTAAAGTGAATGCTGTTTGGTTATAAATGGCCTTAAAATAATAACAAGCAATAGTGGCTGTTATAAGTGTGACTTTTTTTTTTTTTGCAGGAGTAAAGATGGTCTCAAAGGCTTTGCATTCTCTGCATTAAAGTAAGCTGACCCTGCTCCTACTGAAGCCTTCATTTAGACTGCAGACAGTAGTTTGCTGAAAACGCTATAGAGGCATTGTGCATTTTCTGTTACAGGTTTGTCATTGGAAAAGAAGAGATTCCAACTCACTCTGTCACAGCAGACCACGTCTCCATGAGGCCTCTTGAGAGGACAGCTGCAGCTATAGAGGCCGAGGATTCACAGGCGTCAGCAGAAAGGCCCAGGTCTAGGAGGAAAACTCTGGTAGCCTACGCCAGGGAACTACTGGAATCAATGTGAGAGAAAACACACCTCAACACAAACTCACACGTGTTTGCGTGGTGTGCCGACCATAACTGACTTGTGTTTTTATTCTTTTTTAATAATCCAGATGCAAACGGGGTCCAAGACACAGATGTTGTAAACACTACCAAGACAACTGCATTTCCTACTGTATTAAAGTAAGACTCCTTCCACCCAAGATGTTACTTTTTTTGTCATCTCCTTCATTTGCTGATGGATTTATAATACTGAAACTGTTTATAACTCAAGGCATGATATTTACTTGGGATTTGTTGTCATTTTTCTCTGCAGGGTTTTGTCAGGATGTTCAGTGTTGGCTATCTGATTCAGTGTTGTCTTAAAGTGCCCTCAGCATTCAGACAAATGTTCTCTAAACCCTCACGGGTCCCTGCCCTCTTCTACAACAAAGAGAACTTCCAGCTTGGCGCCTTCCTCGGCTCTTTCGTCAGTATCTATAAGGTACGTTCAATGACAGTGACTGACTGTGCCAAATTTGTAAATCCATATTTTTTCTATGCTACCCTTCTCACATGTATTATTTGAACTTCTCCTGTTGTCTTGCTGTCTGATTATATCTGAGTAGGTCATGATTATTCTATCGTGTTTCTCTTTCACTCAGGGAACAAGCTGCTTGTTGCGCTGGGTGCGTAACATTGACGATGAACTCCATGCACTGATAGCTGGTAAGCCAGGATTTTGTAAACTGTCAAATAAAATCCCTGCGGAGCAGTCCTCCTAGGGATTCTGTCATGTCTTAGCTGATTTACCCCGTTTGTCAACTGTCTTTTTTTTTTTTTCCCCGTCTCTCCTTTTCCTCAAGGCTTCCTGGCTGGTGTCTCCATGTTCTTCTACAAAAGCACAACAATATCCATGTATCTCTTCTCGAAGCTGGTGGAGGTAAAACAAAGGCTATCGATGCCTGAAGCAAACAGATTGATACAATGCATTCCAGTGTTACTATAGATAGACAGTAAAGAGAGAATTATGTTAAGGAAATATGCACACCAAAACCTCGAGGGCAGTGAAACAATATTTACTAAATACAGCACAGAACAGAATTCACAGCTGAAATAATGTAATGTAATAATAACCTCAGATATCAATATCCGGGATTAGTTGATATCACATTCAGACACGACTCCTGGTGTAGGATTACATGCAAACAAGGTGTTTACATGCACTGTAGTGACCTGATGCATGCAGCAGTTTAGTAAAAAGCTAACATGGTTGCTTTTAACCACACAGGATCTTGTAGAAATATGTTGATAGTTCAGAAAAAAAGCTGATTTCCCAAATATCTATACCAGAAAATTGACGTGTATGTTCTATATTTGTCTGCCTGGTCAGAGGTTCTGTGTACTGCCCAGTTTATCATTAACATCACATGTAATCTTTTTCTATAGACCATGTACTTCAAGGGCATTGAGGCCGGACAGTTCCCTTACTTTCCTCATGCGGACACAGTCATATATGCCGTCTCCACTGCCATCTGTTTCCAAGCTGTAAGTAACACATACAAATATGCTTAACATGCATTTTTTCTTTTTTATTTTAAGCTGAGTAAGGATATAACGTATGACTCATTGCTTTTATGCAGGCAGTGATGGAAGTGCAGAACCTCAGGCCTTCATACTGGAAGTTCCTGCTGCGTTTAACTAAGGGCAGGTATGTGTGTCTTGTGTAATCTGTCAGCTGTCAAGCCATGCTGTTTGTTTTTTTTGAGGTTATAATTAGAACATCAGTTGTGCACAATGGGACACCCAAAGGGATTTATTAAAAATAGCTTATTTCAGAGAGAAACTACCACCTTATATAGTACGTATAACAAATGTAGAGGTCTTTAAATGTTATGAAAGGGGATAAGAGGGTCAGTAACTCAGAATTTGATTGACAACACTGTTAGCTGTGGCAGAATCTAAGGGAAACTGACATTCAGACATACTGTGGAGGTGTGTCATTAGTTTTTAGAAGTAGTTTGTAAGGTGGTTAACGTGTAGCTGTCGCATGTAAGCAAATGAGCTAGTTCTGTTTTTTTGAATGAATCGATAGTCTTGTAATCTATGACAGTTGTATCCCTTTCAATGCTATATAGAGACTGTTTTCTAAATCCTGTCCTAGGTTTGCCCTGATGAACCGACACTTGCTAGATGTGTTTGGGACTCAGGCTTCCAGGGACTTTAAAGGCTTTGTGCCCAAACTGGACCCTCGTTACACCACGGTGCCCAGCCAAGCACTGCTTCTACCGGGAGGTGAGATCCAGCTCGGATGACTTGGGACCAGGCTCTTGGAAGGGCTTTAAAGTTACCTCAACAGGAACTTGGACAGCCTGGCTGTTCTCACTGAGTAACTTGAGAATTTTTGCAGGTTTTATAGAAGTGCGTAGAAGTGGTGTTGTTGTGTTACGAGGCAGGATGTGCTTTGGATGATGATAAAGCCTAATATCTGTTCAAAGCATGGGTGTCAAGAGTGTAAATTTTGGAGTTGCACAATCACACCTAATCACGACGAGTGAACTCTTACAGGTAACTTGTAAAACGGATGGGTATAATTTTATTCAAATTTTAAATTATTTTAATCATAGTTTTGTTAAAATGGACAATTAATTCGATTGAATGTTTTTTAAGTCCTAATGCAAATTTATATTAGTACAAAACAAACTCTAAAAATGTGAGCCCTCTGAATAAACAACATAATTTTAAAAAATATATATTTTGTCAAATTGTCAGTGGCTGGCTGTATGGTAGCCACTGGGTCAATTCATTCAGTAACAAAAAGCAATAACAACAAAAATAACACTTCTTGAAAATAAATTCTGATTTGGCTGAGGATACGACCACATTCGTTTTGTCCTCAAATCATAATGTTTGCAGAAATTACAAGTTACCTGTCAGTTTGTTCTGACTGGACCCATTTGTGTTCTTTCAATGGTTGCATTCACATCAGAGGGTGAAACTCACTAATCTTTTTGGAATACAAACAGTAATATCTGATTTCTGACTGTGATTTAGGAGTGTAAGATTATTACTCCCTAATTTTTTTCTGAATGTGTATTTTTCTAAGTCAGTGGGTGCAACAGATGGTATATATAATTATGTAGCCTTATGAAAATTTGTTCTCTGTAGTAGCATTGGGAGAAGTATTCACATTATGTTTTATGATATAAAATATCAAGGTGAAATCACCATTTTAGCCAAATATTTAATTAAAATTGGTTTTTAAATTCAGTTGAGCATTTTTGCCCCTAAATCTCTAGCTTCACTTGCACTACTTGATTTATCCACACTAGACAGTATTTGTGTCAGTGAAATCATTCAAATATATGTGTTCTTCATGGGATATAAGGACAATGCAATTTTGGACGTTATTTGTGAACAAGAAGATCTGGTATCTGACTATAATTTACTATAAACAGGCAATTCACCTTGAAAACACAGAATTTGACGGTAAACCAGAGTGAGACCATTTTCTTCATCAGTGCAAAACAAACCGAGTTATTAGGTGGAGTCATTTAAAGTGGGGGAATCAACATACTACACGCAGAGCGCTAACGTCATTACTTTAAAACCCGCCTGAACAATTTGCAGATCGTCAGAAGTCACATTTCTCCTCCAGGACAGGTTGGTCTTTTACAAATGCATTTGACGTTAATGTCATGTAAACCTCATGCAGTTATACGTTGCAGTCTGAAGAAATGACAAGCCACGGGAGGGAACAGTTTTTCCATACTGTGTGCACATGTGTGGATTCTACTAATGGCCTGTTTGACTGAATGCAATGAAACCCTTTATTTTAGTTTCAGGTTGAAATGGTTTGGTTACATGAATGTACAGCCACAAGCAGATCCAAACACGGTTTATATTGAATACCTCGTTGTCTCACCTAAACTCTTGAGATATACAAAATGATGTTTGCTGTTGGCACTTTAACTAGCACTTACTGGGAATTTGTAGGTGAACCTTATCACTTCAGATCCACCCTGATCCAATCAATATTCAATTCAGTGACACGTTTGCTCGCAGCTACTGTGTTCTGTGATTAGAACGCACAGAGCTCAATCTGCTTGTGGTTTGGATCTTTGTCGGTGAAGAGATAAGGATGTCTGCCAAAAAGCTGACTTGTGTTTTAAGTCTTCTGTGTTTCCTGAGATGTGTGAATTACATTTATTACATATTTGACTCACAGGTAAATATCCACAGTGGTTTTGCAGATAATGGAGACGGAGGCTACTTCAGTGCTTCATTGAAAATTTCACTACACAACGCAAATTACACCGATGCATTGTCTTTTTTTTTCATTTCATCTTTTTTCATTCATGACAACTTCATTCAAGATGTACAATAATTACATATTGATACATACTTCATGAGCTGCAGTTGTTTTTCTTTTTTTACTTTCGAATTCAGTCCTTCAACCCAGCTTTAGACACACCTGACCTCCATAACAGAAGCCATGATTGTGAAAAATGCAGTGCAAAAATTTGTGTTGAAAGGAAAAGTGTCTAAAAAAAAAAATCACGACATAGTCACTAAATCTATCATATAGAATTATAATGTAACTGTTTGAAATGTTTTTGATTCTTGTAAAAAGGGTGTACATTAAAATGTTTTTGAATCCAAATACAAGTCTTCTTTGTTTCCTGAGCTGAGTTTCTTGCTATATGATTTTAATGGAATATTTTTGATGTGCAGAGCTGTGCTAAAAGTTTAGGCACTGTAGAGATTTGGAATCTTACAAGAACGAGTTCATCAATATGTAACATAATTGCTGCACTTTGCACATTTATGACATTATTTTTGAAACCTTTGTACAGTACTGTAAAGCAACTGCTTCTTTATTTTTTCTGAGTTCTTGTGGCATTACTGTTTGTCTCAAGCCCTCAAGATTAGATAAAGCTGCGGTGAACATCAGGAAGACACTCGGTCCAGATGGCATTCCTGGAAGAGCGCTGAAGTCCTGCGTCGAACTGCTAGCTCCAGTGTTCACAACAATGATTTAACCTCTCCCTGAGTCAACGTGTGGTCCCCGCATGCCTAAGCAATCATTGTTCCTAAACTGAAAAATGCCTCTCCAGTCTACTTAAATGAATATCACCTAGTAGCTCCCACCTCTGAAGTAATGAAGTGTTATGAGGGAATAATTAAGGAACAAATCTGATCCTTGCTCCCTGAGTCTCTGGACCTGCTTCAGTTTGCTTGCAGGCCAAACAGGTCCACAGATGATGCCATCTCCCAGGTTGTGCACATCACACTCACATTGCTGTTTGTTGATTTCTGTCCAGTCTGGGTTTGAGCACCTCCCTGTGTGACTGGATTTTGTATTTCCTCTCCACTAGAACCCAAGTGGTCCATGTGGGTAGACACATTTCAAGCCCCTGCACCCTGAATCCCAGAGCCCCCCGGGGGTGTGTCCTCAGCCCTCTGCTCTTCTCGCTTTACATACATGACTCTGTGGCTACGAACAGCTCTAACATCATTGTGAAATTTGCAGATGACACAGTTGTGGTCCGATGCATCAGTAACATTGATAAGCAGACCTACACAGCGGAGGTTCACCGTCTGTCAAAGGGGTGCTGAACTGACAACCTGCTGCTGAACGGCAGTAAAACCACACAGCTGATCGTGGACTTTGGGAGAAGCCAGCAGAGGAATAACACTCCACTGAGGATTTACGGATCAATTGTGGAGAGGGTGTGCAGCTTTAAGTACCTGGTAGTGCACTCCTCTGAGGATCTGTCGTGGACCAAGCAAACTGACAACCAGGTTAAGAAGGCTAGACAGCGCCCTTATCACCTGAGACAGGTGAGAGAGTCTCTAAAGATTGTGAGGACTTTTTTTACAACGGAATTTTGGAGAGTGCACTGACTGGTTCCATCACCCAGTAGCACAGGAACAGCACTGCCAAAGCTCCTTAAAGACATCTACATGAGGAGGAACATGGTCAAGGGACCCCCGCCACCCCAACAGTGGACTGTTTACTATGTTCTTGCCGGCGCCTGTGTCGTATCAAGGTGCACACAGAGAAACTCAGCAAAGCTTCTTTCCTCATGCTGTCATCAGGACTGTAAACTCTGACCTCAAATCAAAGTCTAAATCATAACACCTCATCTGTTCGCTAAAGCACACTGCATCATGTAAATAACACATGGATGTATGCATACAGACACATCCATGCTCTTATGCACACCAACACACACACACATGGTTGCTCTCTTGCACAATGCACTCTGCCCTTCAGCATCACAGTCCCCACGATGATGTGACTTTTTCTGTTGTTTTTAAAGAACGTTCTTTACAATGTGTTATTGTTATTGCACAGTCTCATTGTTACCTTTCACACTTCACTGTCAGTGTGGTTTTGTCTATCAAATTTCCCAGCTGTGTGTCTGGTGATTCAGACCCGGTTATTGAATATTTCCTTATTACCTTTAATTTGCAGTAAAATGCAGAAATACAACAAACATTACATTGTATTCACATGATGGGTCTTACAGTAATATTTTTATGGGTGCTGCCTCATTTTGAAATAAAAACAAAAACAAAAACAAAAACAAAAACTGCAAAGGAAGCCAGAAAAAAAACACATTCCAGCCGACCCAGGGCAGAGGCACATTCACACCTATGGACAACTTACAATTAATTAAACTCAACATGTTTTTGGACCTTGTGGGAGAAAGCTGGAGAACCCACGCTGCATGGGGAGAACATGGAGACTCCTGTAAGTACTTTGAAAGGGAAGAAAACCCCAAAGTCAAATTCCTTGCATGTGTTCACATACTAACTCTGAATGAGGTTTGACACTGGATTTAACAGCACACTGTTCAAAATAGGCAACATAATACAGGCAGATGTGAGTAGCGTGGAGACAAACAACAAACAATAGGGTATGTTATGCTACACTGTCAGAAATATGAGGCAGAGAAAGGGGCAGCTGATCCAAAACCTCACAGAGACTACAAGTAAAATTCACACTTTGTAACAGTTGGTGGCGGTAAAGTTCCAATGTGTTGTTTGATAACCGCCAATAAACCTCAAACTAGACGACGAAGAAGAAGAACTCCTCACTCCCGGAACACTAGCCCGGCTATTGGCTGTATAGTTACATGTCAGCGCTAGTAACTATAGAAAATAGGCGATTTAAAGGTTAATACATACCCATGGGGGGTAAAAACAAACAGCGAACCAAAGGAAATGTGAGGGTAAGTTGCTACCAGTTGCTGTACCACCCAACGTTGAGGTAGCTAACGTTGCTAGCAACAAGCTAATGTAAACTTCAGGTTACCTGCTAACGCAGCGCGTGGCTGATCTGTCTGTCTCTACTGTTATGAACACAACGCATCTGTCGCGCTAACGTTGCTGCTTTTGCTTGTTTATAACCACGCGTTTCTCTCCCGAAACTAGCCGTCCAGCAGTGGCCGAGCTGCTGAGGTACTGACCCGGGAGGGTGGCGTCATCCCGGGCTTCGTGGGCTTCGACTCGGCGGTCACTTCAGAGCTGAGCTACGTGCCAGCTGTCCACGGCGCGGAGGACATAGACAACCTAGTAGATGCTGACTTCCGCCTGGTGCTGAGAAAACTCTCGAAGAGGGATGTTGTCACTAGACTGAAAGTGAGTTTTAACCTCACCTCTAACGTTTAAACGTCTTTGAAAAAGCACCTCACACACACTTCTACTTGATGCCAGTTAAAGACAGTAATATGTCAGTGTACCTCTGTCATCCAGGTCATAGTATTCCTATGAACTTCAGTAAAAAAACAAAAAGAAGAGCTCAAACTGACTGGTGGGGAGTCTCAAATGTATATTGTGTCTACATTGCACCACCAGCTCAGATTGCTAATGGCCCATTATTGACTCACATGCCTTGAAGTATGAATGGCTGTGAAAGTGCCGAGTCAGGGGTGACTCAAGATGCTAATGGTGGTCAGACTTTCAGGGGAGAGATCTCAAAACTATTAGGAGTGCACAGACCTATATATAGACTAAAAGATCTGACTCAGCACGGGATAGCAAGCTCCTTAGGACAAGTTCACCTGCATCTGAAGGACAAGGGACACTCCATCGAGGACAGCACTGTACACATTCTGGACAGAATGTTTTAAGAGAGGAAAGATCAGGTCAACTACAAAAAGCCATCTTTAAACAGAGAACGGAGTGTATGACACCAGTTATTGTTGAAGAAATTTTACTCATAGTCCTCATGTGAAGTTTGCTGTAGTGGGTGTTTATTAGTATTCCGGTATACAGTGGGCTCACCAACACAGAGCATGAGTCTGTGAAGGTGGACCGACCTTGAACATCTGCAGAGTCACACATTTATAGGGTAAGTCAGAGGGTAGGGGGGGCCTGTATGTAAATACAGAGGTGAATAGAGGTAAATTAACATACAGTTGCTAATCAAGTGACCGGAGGTAAGGGGGGCAATGAACCACAGGTGATGAAATTGGGGTCTGGTGACCACACGGGTGGTGGAGTTGGGGTTCTGATAGCATACAGTTGCTAATCAAATGGCAGGAGGTAAGGGGACAATGAACAACAGGGGGTGGAATCGGGTGTCTGTGGCAGGAGGTGGGAAAACACATGACAAAAGGTGATGGGGAAACACATGGCAACAGGGAATGAATTCAGGGGTCTGTGACCATCAAAATAAAAGAAAATAGCTTTCTTCATCATTATCATGAACCTCTTTACCCAGAAAGTTTCACCGCTGTTAACCTCTTGGCTCACCTCTGACCTGACGACTTCACAATGTTGTGGAACCTGGCAGTTTCACAATCTGTCATACTTTGAGGCATGTGAGTTTGGGGTCATGAATGGGTCATTAGCCATGTCAGTATACATCTGGGACTCCCCATCAGTCAGGTAGAACTGAAGAAGCCTCTTGGGTTACTGGTGAAACTCCTTAAAGAACCAACTCCAGTTATTTTCTCTTGAAGCTCTTAGGAGAGTGTCAAACTGTACAAACAAAATCTCTGAGCAATCAAGCACATGTAATACACAAGTGCCAGGTAAATATAAAGCTATCACCAGCTATCACTGGCTATGTTGAAGACGCCCCAGGGTGCTTTTTGGTCCAGGTGTGTTTTGTGATAATGTGAAATCTTCTCAGGCTGTGCAGGACTTTGGGTCCATGTGTCAGGAGCGGGATGCCGAAGAAGTGAAAGGGGTCCTTCCATATTGGCCAAGGATTTACTGCAAAATATCAGTGGTGAGTGATTTTTCTTTCTGCGTTTCATTTCATTTGCGTTTCTTTCATTTTCAGCAATTTTCACATTATTGTTAACATTCCTGAAATACTCCATCTTTAGTATGTAAATAAACATGCAACATTTGCAAACATTTACCATGCTAGATTTTGAACTACCTCATCCTTCCAATCACATAATAGTAAAGCATAAATTCAAAATTTGAAATATCTCAAATAAGAAGCTGCCGAAAACTCCATCAGGTTGACACTTGTACGAGACTTAAAATTGTATGAGTGCTGATTTTGAAGTGTGTCAACATTAGAATTCTGTCTTCATCACCATGTTAGGATCATGATCGCCGCATCAGGGAGGCTACCCAGCAGGCCTTTGAGCAGCTGGTGCTAAAAGTGCGTCGCAGCTTGGCCCCCTTTCTGAA